GGGGGGGGGGGGGGGGTAAAGATAGAGCGAGAAGAGTGGAATTAAGAGTCATAGGAAGAGATACGAGAAGATAATGGAAGGAAAAATTAACAAAGCGAAATAATTGCTCGTTTACATTCAGAAATATGATTAACCTCAAACGACACATCTACATATAGTCTGCATATGATTATATTATGAAAAGACTTAAAAGAAATGGAATTTGAAGTGTAATCAAAAGGTATTCTCCTCAAGATACTAAAACATCCCTGAGACAACTGACTGGTTGATATCTAGATTATTAAATAAACTTCCTGTCCATCTTTCTAGTGCCATTCGCAAGAGTCAAGAATGCCGGAAAATACAGATATAGCTTGCTGGACAATCAACAAATCGGTTTCTCTTCTGGAGCACTCATCTTCTCTCCGAAGCACGTATCCCCTGCAGCATCCCCTCTCGCTAAGAGAAGCATCCTTTTATTGGCCTCTTATCTCTCGTGATGATTCACCAGGCCTGTAATGGCGAGAAAGAAGCAGAGTAAGAAGAGAACCTGATGCTTGGAGTATAGAAGGTGAACAGGCAGGAGAAGGAGAAGGAGGAGGAGTCACGGAGGCATAAAGGAGAGGAAAAAAAAAGCAAGAACATGGGTAGAGACGAAAAAGACGAGTAAAAATAAGAAGGAAAAAAAGGAGCAAGAAACGCTCGGGAGCTACGGGGAGAATAAAGAGAATGGAAAAGCCTTGCGGTCGTACCTATACCGAGTGTACCAAGGAAGATGGCCGATTTGCGAGATGCAACGACAGCTCTGAAGTGGAAACGGTCGTGTCCATAGTCAGAGCCAGTACGAGCCTGTTGACCGGGCTTTGAACCCTGTTCTCCTGGAGTACTACGTCGTCGTACTACGAGGGCGAGAAGCGTACGCCATTGGTCGACCGGTACCACAAGTTCAAGAGTCCTGACCAACCTCCTTCAGGAGATAAAGCTAGAAATTACAAAAGATCCTGTGTACATACACATCTACACATGGACGCCTAGTGCACTCGACTAATATAATCTACAGATTAAACAACAGTTTTAACACGCGAGATATTGTTACAATCTTAACCTCAAAAAAAGAACAAGGTCACCTTTACCATAATGGAATATCCCCACAGAGGTCCAAAACATATATATCATCCATTGACTAAATATTAGAGTAGACTTTTTATTGCGTCATAATAACCAGATAGTACGGTTGATCTGTAGTTCAATATCGTTAGAAAGCAAATACCGTGAAAAGTCAGTGAAGCGTCCCACCACGAAATCAGGACAACATAACGGATTTGTTAGCACGTGAGCTGATCCCCCATTGGTTGGTGATTCGCTGTGCAGCATACTGGTATACGACGCGTACACCGTATGATATTTACCATACTATGTATACATATAGAATGTACAGTGAAGCCAACAAGTATTGGAGACTTGCGTATGTTGTGCATGGCACAATACATTATACTAGAGCATAGACTATATGAGTAGGTACTTAGTCACGTCGTAAACACGGTGCATAGAATGTATCAGGAATCACGTATAAGCATTAATAGCCATCCTGAAATCAGCCGACCAACTTGCAACTGCTGGCATGTCCGAGTAGTCGAGGTAGGGAAGTCGAGGATGGCGAAGAGGAAGCATACAGTGAGGGCAGAGAGAGTCACCGCTGGATGAGATGGTGCAGAGGGACAGAGGAGTAACAGAGGACCGTTGCACTGACCGGGCTTTGAACCCGCTATGTGGTAAACAACAGGTACATTGCACCCTTGGCGATTTGCAAGAGAAGCCAAAGAGATGCACCAGCCCGTTGGTTGGGATTCTACACCTATGCACGTAGGAAGACGCACTGCGTGGATTGACAGCCCTGAAGTTGGTTCAGGTGGTTTAGAAGTTCAAGAAACTTTTATCACTGAGAATCGCGTGTGGATGCACTTTTACAAAGGTGACTGGCTCTTGCCAATGGATTTGCAGAATTACTGTAATTAAAGTATAGGAAATGATTATTAAGGAAGTTTACCTGTTTCTACGTAAGAAATGACTGAGGATGAAATGGTTTCTTGTTTGGACTAGACAAACGGAAATAAAATGGCGTCCTTTGATCGGCTGCTCTCGTGATGATTTTCAAAGCTTGACGTGACAGGATTGAATTCTCAGCTTCTCTTGGCAGACAATACCATACGCCACACTACGAATTCTTTGGGAACTTTTCAAGCGTGCATGCGTAGTTCGTACGTGGGATTATTATGTGTGTGGGTTAATTCCGTGGCGACGGTAATGGTGCCATGGTTAGCATGGCGGTGACAGCCTCTTACGAACCAGGCGCGCGGACGAACTGCAGAATAATAAACAAACGATAAACCGATGCAGGAATGCCAAGAGCGGGTTATCTGTTTGGCGTCGATCGTCTTTCTACGCGATTTCTGTATCTCGCGCCTTGCGCCGTGACGCCCTGTAACCGTTGTTGCGAGCTCGACCGTGGCCACGCCGTAAATCGTAATAAACGGTACGGCCACGAAAATAAGACTACAGATCGGGGTAGGCGCATGCGCCCCACTTTCTGTAACGAGGAGATTCGGAAATGGCCGAAGTTGCGCGAAGCGTATCGCTTGTACGTCTATTACCTATATAACTGTGTATGTAACACGTATTACACCATGTATGAGAACACGTACGTATGAATGCGTAAAAATTCGCCACAGACACTTGTGCTTTGGATATATCAGACAATTTATCTTCTAGCCGTTTCGTAATCCCTTGTGTCCTGACGATAAGCTTAGAAGACAAAGAAACTGTTTCCATGGACAATTTTCCTCAATATAAATTAACCGAATTGCCATTTTCGAGTAGCCGCTGAACTGGTCAACAAATTTCCGGTAGTAAAAAAAGCATGTGACTGTGCCACTTCATTTACCGTATAACCACATAATACAGATGGCGTAATATGAAAACGGTAAAGAAACCCGGTTTATATTTTTTATTCCCACGGTAGATTGAAACCAAGAAAAACAGCTATTGGGCCGCATTAAAAATTTGGCAAAATCAGAAAAATAAAATAAAAGTCGTCAATTATTTCCTGTTCAATATCACGTAGCAAGACAGACTGCATGACTAGTGGGAATGATATGAAATTTTCGATATACTATTACTATATTTACTATATTTACTATTTATTTACTATTGATTACTATATTTTCATTAATTGCACCTAACACGTGCGACTGACTGTATATATGTACATGCAAGAGTTTTCCCGCGTTCGTATCATCTATCGTTGACTCGGTCGGCCATTTGTAAGTCCCGAGTGTTCTGAGCGGCCGTACGGGCGACGTTGCCTGCGCAGAATGCTCCGAACCGCTCTGCCGGCCACACGGAGTTATTTTATCTTTCTAAACACCCGGCAGGTAGTGAAGTTGTCCGTGGCGTCATTTAAAAAAATCCCTAGCACACCAACCAGACGATATAGAGACTTACGAATTTTTCCAAACTGTTCCGTGGAGCGCGAAGAAATTTTGAGAATTTTTTTACGTCCGTCACTCCAAACACGCCGACGCTATTAATTTTTAAAGCAGCGTGATTTTGTCAGTAACATTCTGGCAGCGCTATCTGCTCGACCGAGAATCGTTGTGGGCCGCCTAGAAGCGCTCGGCCCTCCCTGTTACCGACTATATTTTTAGTTCTCGCGTTCGCCGTCGCGGCGCTACTCTTATCAGCCTATATCGTGACGTATTTCTCAGTCTTCAGAACGTCCTGCCAATTCAGAATAGGACGCGACGAAGGGCAGAACTAATGAGTCGTGATATTTTTCGCCTATGGAATTTTCCATGTTACACAAACTGCGTAATAAAGATGTTACACACCTATATAAATAACACTGCGGACACGAAGCCAATGAATGTCAATAATTCGAAGAAACGTATACACGACTTCTATTAAATAATATTACGCTATTCAAACAAAGCTTTATTAAGGATTTAGACAAAATAGCTTTAGATGCTTCGAAAAATTCACGTGATTTCCCGTATTTGAATTTACGACAACCTCGCACGTTGACGCATGCGTCTCTGGTCAGTGTCGTGCACAATAAACAGGAAAGGCCGTCACTGTATTTACTCGAGGGACCCCGTATTCCAGCGTCGTCATTTTAATAATTGACGTCTACGGTGCCGAACGTCGAAACGATTCATTAAAGTAACAAGTAATTTAGAGCTCGTGAAACGACCAGTCGCGCAAAGTGCTAATTTCCTCTTTGATAATTTATAGGATATTACATATAACGATATATACAAGAAACTCTCAACCATTCACGGATCAAATACATAACGTGAATCTCACCCAAAGTTTCGATGAGAGGTCAAATTAAAAAGTCGAATGGATTGTCAACCCATATTTCACATAAATCTTAAAAAATTATTATATATCATTGGCAATTGATCCGTCGTATTATACGATATAATGTGTACACAGTACACGTATATCTATCTACATGGATATCAATCCTATCGAACCTATCTAATTATATGTGAACTGGCCTTTTTCCAAATGATTTACGACGCAACCAACACGTTTTCTACATCGGCTTCGGCATACCGCGGCACCTCGCTTTTGCGCATGCGCATTCGTTATTTAGGAATCCTGCCGATCGCCAGGGCCGAACCTCGACAGGACACTTCGACCGGAGTACCAGGACGGGGTCTACAGACAACCGAATATGAGCGCAAGGTCTAAAAATATTACCAGGCGTGCTGCGCCTAGCAACAGTCGTTGCATAGAGACCGAGCTGTACGCTGTTTGCTCAACGAGGAGGTAACCATTGAATTTTACTGTTCTACCAAATTAACAATGCGCAGCCAAAACAAATACAATCAAAGATCGGTATTACGTTTCGTTATTAGACTATATAAAAAAATCTATAAATTTTTTAATTCTCATTATTTAAAGATTATTCAAACACATTTGAGTTAAGTACACCTTGAGATACCTATTCTAGAAAAATTTAGAAGTATTTATTTTTTTTCTAAATTCGACTGAGTCCGTGCATATACAATATACATTCTCGTGGTGTGTCGAAAGGACTGTGAAATTTGTAATTCTAGACACATAATCCCGCCAGTCGAGTGTCACTCGTGGTATTAAGGAGCCTTCACACAGTAGACATATACATACGTGCACTATCCTATAGGTGAAATGGTTTATGTACACTGGGTATGGAGAACACTTAAAGATCAATATAGATTCACGTTCATAGGTCCGGGAGGATGGTCTACAATAAGAAAAAAAAAATTTAATATATAATTTTGAAGCTCTACAAGTTCCGTGTAACGATATATCCATCGATATGGATACCATCACAGACAATCAGAGACTGATCCGTATATAAAGTATACAAAATTATGCAAGATACGGAAGTCTGCTGTCAGGCTTGATGCCAAATCGAGTTACTGGCCCCTCCTATCGCATTAATCAATTCCGCCAAGCACACCCTCTTACGTAGAATAATTTTGAAAAAAAAATCAAGAAACGCCACTTCTTTAAACGCGATAAAAAAGCAATGCGCAAAAGACAACGGTCGACTGATTGCTATTGAAACATCTACACAGGTACCTACCTGCCACAGGTATGTGGTACAAAAGCCTCGAGAGGCTTTTCGATTCAAGGAACGACCGTTAAACCACAAAATCCGTCAGATTGTGTCCCTTGGGTTGTATATTCCCGAAGCCGGACAAGATACAAAAGAAATACAAGAGAGATCATTATAGCAAAGACAAAGTACATAAATACATACATAGTAAGGTGCTTCCTGCGAAGACAGAGATTTGCAGAGGCTTCGAGATATTCATAAAGTTGGTGCACCTGCTCTACTCCTATACTTATAACAGTCTAACCAATCTTTAAAATTTACCAATAAACGTATCACAGGCACCTTCACACGTACCTCTGGCGCACCTGCTGCTTCCGCGATGCACAATCCACTTGCAAACTCTAGGTCCACATGAAATCCGTTCCAGCGATGAAAACCCTAAAAAAACGTAAATTCGAAGAATTTTCCCTGACGGGGCATCGTACATACACAATGCATTGGTACCGGACGTCGCTGGATAAAATTAGGTTATCAGGTATTTTAATATCCGGTTCCGTTCTGCCAGAGAAATAAGTTTCCCCAGCATCGCTGAAAACGTGTATAAAAATTCTCCAAGTCTACGCACGTAGCACACACGATCCAATTTTTTTTCGTTCTCTTGTACACTATCATACAATTAGTAGATAAAGAGTGACCATGGCCTTTTATACAAACTTCTCTTAACATACCCTGGGCACCACGTAACCGGCGTACCACCGTTAATAAATTTATTGTTTGGCAGCCGATAACGCGCGCATAATTGTACCCCGGGGAAGAAATGGCTACAGAGACGCAAGATAATGCGAATTCAAGGACTGCGTAAAGTTGCAGGCTGCGCGCGCATACCGTAACTGTCGGAAGCCACCGGCGTCGTGCAGCCAGGCTTGCCTAGAGATGGATACGAGGCAAATCGCAGAGAACGGTTTTTTATTTGGGATGGAAAGAAAATTGAGATATTCGCCAATGTATTCTTAATTCACTTTTTTTTTTTTTTTTCTTTAATAAACAATAGCATGGTATTTACTCATGTAGGTTAGTTTCTTTTGTGTTTAGACTCTCTTACAGTTATATTATATATTGCCTATGTAATCTATAGTGTCCGTTACATATACTATTTATGCAATTGTGTTGTTGTTGTTGTTGTCGTTACACTACGAACTTCCAATCGGAAGGCGGCTGTCGTTCAAAAATCAATTCACTGGGTGTTTGTTTTTCCGCTTTTTTTTTTTCTCATTTCCTTTTTTCTTTTCTCACAGTCGACAACAATCGTCTCCTTTCACTTGCTCGCACGCATTGTTACCCTTACCGTACGCTTACTCTGTAACGCGTCTCTCTCACGCCTTTATTACCTTACGTACGCATAATAACACACGCATTCACGCGCGCGCACACATTTACTCCAAGGGTCCGTACAATACGTTACGATTGGTCTAAGTCTAATTATACGTTAAAAAGTACAGGCTAAGTTATGTTTACTGAGATCATACTAATACATCACAGGGTTACATAGAACGTAAGTTTTTGCTATATTTTTTTTCCTCTTTCTCGTTTTCGACTTCGCACATAACTTTTTCTTGCTCCTTGTAACGGGTCGCGGCGGGTAAAAGTGTCCGACGTCCGTCGCGTCGTCACAATTTTATACTACGGTCGCGACTTGAGCGTCGTGAGAGAACATACAATTTTCTATTCACGTTGTACACGGTTGTATCTACGTATAACGTTGTCGCGCGTTTCTCTGCATGTTTACATGATTTTATCTATTGTTTCTTTTTTTCTTCTTCTCTTCGCTTCGGAGAATCGCCATAAACAAATTAACTTTATCGAGGAATCGTTATCGTTATTACTATTAAGAATTTGAACTCTTTCTGTGCTTTAGGTATATAGACTTCTTTGACTTTCCGCAGTGCTTTCATTTTCTATTTTTTCCTCTTTCTGCTCTTTTGATTTTGAGATTCGACGATCGATCCGAATTTTGACACTCCGCGTCACGCGAGATCGCTTAAAGGATAGCTCTGTAACCACCAGTCGTATTTTTGGGTTATAATCTAAAAAAAAAAGACCAAGAATCATAGAAAGAAACAATATGACAATATATTAGAAGCTGCATAAAAACGGGATATACAAAAAAATAAAAGAAAATGATCAACAGCTACCATTAAAATCGTAAGACTGCATCAAGACACACGTATTTATGATTTAAATTTATTTTTATAAAAAAATGAAGGTGGTCGACTCAAAAATTTGTACAAATTCCATTTCTTTTTATTTGCCGGACTTTATTTACTTTTCACTGTTATCGGTCGTCAGCTTATCTCGTCCTTTCGCGCAAAACACAAAATATTTTTTAAAATAAAAAAAAAAAGAGATAATTCATCACCAGTCCTTGGTCGCATGACCGTTCGAAATTGCAGCCTTTGTAGCCACTGCGCTATATCTCATGGCAAACGTTTACACGACGTCGACGTAACGTCAAGACATTTCTTTTATACAGTAGTCGGGGAAACACTTGTTTAACGTGGATCAAAATATTTCAGCACTCGTCCATTGGGCGAGCGAATTCGATCACGAAAGTGCGTACGCGTATGAAAGCGATGCGACGGCTGAAAGTCACGAGAAGCAAGAGAGCTTCGCTCGGTTTTCGTGTTTCGAAAATTCGCGCTGTGCCGAATAAATGATTTCTTAGAAGCAACCGCCAAACGAAGGGAGTTCGATTTTTTAAATTTATTTTATTAGAGCGATCCGACCAATCACCCTGAACGCGTAATCAAAGATAGGTAATTAAGGTATAGAATTGGGATTAAAAACAGGAATAGAAGACTGACAGTGTGTAGGTATATTTTCATTTTTTTCTTTTCTTTTTCCCTTAAGAACGATTATATCGAACTGCGGAAGAAAAAATACTCGAATTTGTTTCGAGTGCCTCCCCTCCCCTTCGCGGTTAAACGTAAAATTCCATAGTCTCGCAGGATAATTACGGTCTATCGTTAAAGGACACTTTAAAGGCGAAGGACGGTGAAAGGTTTCATTAATTAAAAAAAAAAAAAAAAAGGTACGAAGAAGTAGTGGCTGAAACGTATTAGAAGAGTAGAGAGTACGAAAGAAATAAAAGAAAAATCAAGGGATGATGATTTGGCATCGGCTGTACTTTCACAATGTCGTACAGGAGATCAATGCTTAAACTCTTGGGTAACGAACTATACCTACTTCACATCTCATTTGCTCTCGGAACTGATTTCCATCCCGGTTACGTGCACGGATACCAACAATCGTGTGACAATGGTCAGCGAGGCTTGTGAGTTTCGAGTAAGGTATGAATATATAAAAAAAAATTCTAAAAAAAAAAAGAGTTCCAAAAACGCGCGCATAGCGGGTAAATTTTGATTTTTACTCCAAAAGAATCTTGAAAAAGTCGCGTGTTAAATGCCGAGTCTTTGTTTTCACTTATTCGTCCCAATAAAATCTAATGGAATATCAAATTTCAAAAATGATCCTGTTCCACGAACAAACCCGAAGTTACAGGTTAAAAACCGTCTCCGACCTGAACGTCACCTGTTAGAGTGCGTTGGTACAACCTCGGGTACCATTTTGAAATGTAAATTCACAAAAGGGATAATAAGAACAGACACTCGAATTATTGACGATTTTTCTATAATTATTTTGTCATCGTAACCGCGACGCTGATTCTCCTTGTAGGTGCAGAAACTGTACGGATAAGTGAACGTGACGAAACGCGTACTAAAACGTGTTCAGACGTGTCTACCGCGTGACTCACTGAGCTTCGACGCAGACTGGAGGCTCGAGATCCAGCTTCCGTCGAAGCGATGCACGATAAAACTCACGAACCTCGGCGTACGAGACGATCGTCGGATCCGGCAACCTTTCGATAATAGCACGAGCCATCCTCTTGGGTGTCCTCTTTCCAACGTGAATGCACGTCAGACATTGAACGAATGGACGAATCGTCGTATGTGTAAAGAAATACATTGATAGATACCTAGAGGATGGCTTGTATCATTAAACTTGTATCAATAATAAGAAATCATGATCGTGCGCGACCAATCTCAACGGTCCAAAGACCAATAGATACATAGAAATACATAAACTCTTCCTTAACCTAAATCAGTTACTTAAAACTAACCTGTAATTTTGTGTGCTCAGTGTTCAATGTGTCCGATGAAATGTGATAACAGTGAGTTGTAAGGCGTACGGATTGCGAGCATGTGTAGTTGTGCGCTAGACGATAACTAAGTAAGGAGGTTGGTTTTCGCGCATGCGCGTGAATACACATAACAAAGTCCGTACACCTTACAACACAATATGCATTGTTTTGGTGTTGATCGTGTTTACAGTGTGACTGTTAAGAAAACAAACGAATAATATATTACAATAAATTTTGGACAACTTATCTACGCTAATTTCTTTAGCCTAAGACAAAGAAACGTTTATCCTAAATGAAAATTTGACAACTGGGATTATCTCTCTCGTCTAGCACTGCACGCGTCAAATGTAAATAAGTCGCGCGTTCGAAACATGGCGCACGCGCAAACGGCACGTAGCAGCTTCACGACGAGGAAAAAGATGAAGAAGGAGAATAAAGGAGTAGGTACCACTCGTACGAATAGGGAAGATGAAGTATAGTGAGCCGTCTGGATGGACGAATGGTATGGTGACTGTCTGTCTCTATATATACGTAGAAAGTCAGCGTCGAGTGGGGTGGGATGAATTTTCATGGCGAGTGCGCATGCGCCGATAGCTTCAAGATGGCCGCGCGTCCGAAAACACAGTCGCCACGGGGTCTCTCCTCGTTCGCTACCTTTTCTGACGTAATTTCGTAAACGGCGTCCTCTCGTGCGCGCGCGCGCTCAAACAAACACCACAGGCGGATAAAAAGAAATCTACATGAAATGGCACAGCCAAAGGACCTCGCACTTATTAACACAATAACAAAAGGTCCCGTACCCTTCCCGTGGTAGGGATAAGAAGGGAGAAAGAAAGAAAAAAAAAAAAAAAAAAAAAAAAAAAAAAAAAAAACAAACAAATATATATATGTATAATGAGGCGCGTATCTGGGGACCACTAAAAACAAACAACACATCGTACTAGCGTATTTCTTTGTTACTCTGTTGTGTCTCTGTGCGTATCTCTTCCCCCTTTCGCACTGTGTTTTTCTTTCCTCCTTTTTTTCTCCTTCTCCGATTCCGACATATTAGTAAAATATGCATATATGTATGTGCACGCGACGAAGAGAAACGGGGCCCCTTAGCTGCGTATCTGGCCTGCGTTACGTGAAATCTTCTCAGGAGGCTCCACCGCCATGCTCTTCGCTGAGCCGTTTAGCGCACGCTTGCGGCTCTTCATGTAGTCTGTAACAAACAAACGTAGTGGCTCGTATACATTATGTCCCATATCTTGGCTGACGATAAACTGACGTTAGATCCGCCGAGCGTCGCTTCTCGAACGGATTAAGTAATAAGGCGCAGTTCGCTGGGCCCACATTACCAACTGGATTATCGTCAGGGCACCACGGGGTAAATTGATAAGGTCCCGCGTGGGCCCTGATTCGACAATATTACATTGAGCATATACGTGTAACATGGGTGAACAAGCAGAGGGACTACGACGTGGGTCTCAACGGTAGCGTCTGGGACGTGGACTTTATCGTTCACCAGTAATGCGCCTGTTAATCTCGTTGACTGTGACGTCAGTCAAGAGTGCAGTCAATTCTTGACCTCGCTCGTGAGCATGGTAATCCATGAGACTATCAGAAACTTGGATTGGTCGTAACATTTCTAAGAATAACAAACCAGATGACATCCTACATAGGACCCATCTAAATGTCGATAAAACGTCAGAGATCAGCGGTCTCGCAAGAAATAAGATCATCCAAAAGAAGCGGATGAGAATTGAGTAAGTTCAGCGTGCGTCTGATCATATACAAATTCAACGATAGGTTATGTTTCTAGGTCCGTTCGAACGATCACTACCACTTTCCAGGAATACTGAAAGATTTTTTGGACACTCCTGAACGCCATTACCTGCACTCGAGTTTCGTATTATATACCACGTTATATTATACATAGAGCAAGGAATGCGCATAGACTTCGTAGTAATCCAAGGGGATCGCCTGAGGCGCGGTGATTTCGAAAGCCCTATTACGTTTCGAAATGGCTGTTACCCACGTAAGGCCGAAGGAAAGTGGCTCGACTTTTTCACGCGAACAAGTCAGAGAAAAGTGCGGTACACATTTCCTTCAAATAATTCTGCCCAACGGGGCTCGTCTTTAAATATTTTTTTCTTTTCGTTATTACCATCCAATCGTCAAATTTTTCATATAGACCCACGTTCAAGCTAACTCCCGCGCCTATTCTACACCTAATGTACAAACTGTATAGACTTTCTATATCTATATGCATCAGTTTATATACAAATACGTGTACCGCGAGTCACTGAGAACAAACATCTGGCAATGGCTGCTGCTTGACTGACCGATGCCTCGCCAATACATATATGTATATATACATACATATATACGTATAAGCCAACACAAAAAAGAATTACCGTGTAAGATCGATCGATTAGACTGACTGAACGCGATGGCGACATTGTGGTCGTCGGTTACGCACGTTAGTAGTATTTTTCAACGTTGTGGATCACTACGTAATGATTCACACTGCAATAACAATAATAACGAGCGACAGTGGTGATAGTAGTAATAACAATAATAATGGAAACGTATTACTGTCAGCAGCAGCAGTGATAGTCAGTATACGAGTACTTGTCACAGTCTCTACGTGTAACGGTCGCGTGTCGCGAACGTGTCGTCGACGTGGGACCCCATCGAAAAATGTCATTGTCATGAGCGAGGGGATGACGTGGTGGATACCCTACGCACGGGGGCAAAGGGGGTGTGGTGGGTACATGGAATGACGGTCTCAAAAGTTTGGACATCTGCCACGATTTTTGAAACCTCGTCGATTTTACCCGAAAGGGTGACAACGAGCCACGCGACCAGCAGCCATTGTTACAATGCAGTCGGCAGATTCACGTAAATCGAATAAGTCAATATCTGGGTAAGACCTGACAGTTCGATATATCGATCCAACGATTTATTTTTACAGCGGTAACTTTACCGTCTACTTCGAGCGACGTCTGCGGCAGCTACTGGTACTACTGGGAAAAACAAATCTACGAAATGCCTACACTACGACGACGAGTCTCTAAGAACCATCTGTATGCACTACATTTTTTTTCTGTTCTACGATCAATAATCGATACACGTATTTTTGACATTGATCCATCGGGACATCACCGGCCTGAGGACATACGTAGGATGTCCCGAGACAATTGTCGAGTCATGCAATGCAATATTTGAAGCTCGAAGTGCGACCAAACGAACGAAGACCACGCTAAGTTTCATCCTCGTGTCGATGCAATGTGCTTACGTGCCTTTTGATACGTCGGAGAGCCAATTTTAATCTAATTCGCGCAGTTCTAAAGGCTTTAATTTTAAAAGGCGACTAAGGCTACACTCGTATCACTACTGGATTCCCACCCCGTGGACTCGTGGAAAATCCATTATCCCAACAGCTGATACCCCCATGCATGCGCTCACCCTTTCACCCCTCTGTATTTCGGTCCCCTCGCGCGTTGAGGATGACTACAAGGGTAAGGGCAGCAACCCCATATGGGACATAACAGCTGACCACGTTCTCATTAATAAAGTACGTTAGAAAAAGCTGCCGCAGCCCCCGCGCGACTTTACGGCCTACGTGCTACGAGACTCCTGGGCTTTATCCCGTTACGGGATGGTATAGTACGTTACACTGAAATTCCTATTTTACCAGTACCCATTGGTTCGCCATAACGTTATTGTCAGGATTTAACAGGGCTTTTCATACTTTCCTCGTGTGCGCGTAGAAAGTCTAGAGGTACCTACGTGGAAAGCTCCATGACATTTTAAAATATACAGGGCGTGCTTCATGCTTTTACACGCTACATATGTACGGTCAAAGCTCTTTGACCGTATTTCTTTGACCGTACTTCTTTTTATTCCTTCTTGCAGTAAATTACATATATACATATTATTCGCGTTTACACCTGATACATCCTGTACATCACGAACGCACTGATTTTTACGTTTTTCTGAATAATAATCAAGACACGCGAACCCGGCTGCTACTGCATAACGGAACGTTAACGTTCCGCTTAGTACGTGGTTTTTTTTTAAAATTCTTTGTATTAATAATAGACGCTGCTAATGCGACTGTAATTTCTGAAGGCATAGTTATATGTGCTGCGGATACATGTTACTCTTTTGAATTTTATCTTTCGATTTTCTTACACCCGTATAACGACAATCCGATGTTAACTAGTATCTTGTAAGTTTTAGACTTCACGTACAGTAAAATGGAACTTGCTTGTCTCTAATGGAAAATTAGTGTTGGTATTGGCTCTTATTATTATTATTATTTTTTTTAAGTAAGTTCGAAAGCGGTCTAATGATTATTTGATTAATTTTTGTTTTTATGTTAAATAGGAATTTAATGATCTTTTTTATCTGCCCTTTCCTTTACGCGATGGGAATACGAAGCGGAGCTTTTTTGATGCATTGGATGCCAAACGAAAAATGTAAACACAAACCTCGCGATTATGCGGTTCGTACGGATATATATATATATAATCATTACATTTCTCCTTATGCAGGGTGTCCCAGAATAAGAAGATATGGAGTAAGCCATCAAGCAGAAGAAGAAAATTTAAAAGAAAAAGTCATTAGCCATTTTTTTATCAAGCTTTTCTCTTACAGTTATAAACATTTAAAGCTAGCCCATCGACGCGCGGCCGTTGAGCATCCAAGAACGCGGTAAGTGGGAACAGCGGGTACAGCCGTGGATGGATTCGCTGGCTTTAATTGTTTATAACTTTAAGAGGAAAGCTCGGTAAAAAATGAATCAGGATTTGTTTCAGGTTTTCCAAGTCTACTTCATGGTGCACTCAATATCTTTAAAGTCTGGGGCACCCTGTGCACATGTGTCCATGTATATACGTATATATATATAGATTAGGATTACAACGTCACGTCCAGAAATAGTTGCGTCGCGTGGGAGGTGCACGTCGAGTAATAATAAAGGAAAATCGAATAGACTATGGGGTAATGAAGATGGCCGTCTGTCAGGTATAAATACAAACGAAAGTTCAACGAGTGGAAAAAAGAAAAATGCAGAAAAAGTACCCGATTCTTTGAGAAAATCTACATGGGGGTAAGAAATGGTCGTACTTTTTCTTTTCAAGTTCACTCGGACCCATGTTTGTAGGAACTCTATGAGTCTTGGAAGTTAATTTTTTAAGACTGAAAATGACACAAGTAAATATTTTTTTTTGTTACGCGGAACAAGAGTTATGACGGACATGAATATCAATTGGTATTAAAGACGAGAATAAAGCGAAACAGCAGATAATGGTAAAATGAAGTGGTAAATAGTAAGTGACACAGTCCAAAGGCTCTTCCGTCACAATCGAAACAGTGGTAAGGTCACACAGCTGCAAGTACGACGACATTCCCGTGTCGCATTATTACTTAAATTGCACTCGTGACGGTAAACACCGAATTCTAAATTGTGAGTGATGACCGTTTAAATCGGCGAATTGGATTGACCTAGACGGGACGTCGTATTCATCGTATGCAAGGAGTTATGGATTCGCTTGATCCTATAAGCACTCGAAGGACTTTTCAAATAATACTACAGACCTAATGCGAATTATAATATGCGAATATACTGCTTTGCACATTATACTTGTGCACTAAATACGTATTAGAAGAAATAACGTGCAAGTATGCGTAACCAGGTTGAAAAATTGTCTTACCGGTAATAGAGGACTGTTTTCTAGCTGATACCGGTAATATCGGCGTGGTAGGTTCCTCCGGGACACAAGACTTCTTCTCGTTGCTCTCAGACAGGACAGGATCTTCTGGGGTGGTTTCAATGGTACGTGCACCAATCTCAGGAACCCTTGGCTCCTGGGGTGGAGTCCTCTCAGACTTCCTCGAGGTGTTACCGCTGACAGAGAGTGCAGTATCCGCACGGCGTAGCCTCGGAGATACACTCGAGGATTTCCTTGGTGTACCCGGTGCATGTTTCCTTAGGTAAGGCATGCCGCGCAACGCGTATGGTTCCGGGACTACGTCCTGGGATGTTACTATCTCCCATGTATATTGGGAATTGCTCCTGGGCAGTTCCAGATGAAAATCAAAACCCCACTTATCAGCATCCAGCCGAGATTGAGCCTTGAGCTCCCTCTCCGCCAAAGCTTTGGCAGCGGCATGGTCAACGGGCCCAAATAGGTCCCTGCGGATACGTGCCACGGCAGCCTGGCTTGGCACGGCACGAGCACCCCCCAGGTTGCGACTCATTTCCGTCATCATCGCCGGATTCAGCACCCTCGCGCTCATATTTCGACGCCTGGCTAGAGTACGCCTCTTCCTCGTCGACGGCGTTCTGGCCTCGCGTTCACCAAGTCTCTTCCTCGCCCTCACAGAAATCACAGACACCCCCTGGTGCGCACTTCTGCCTGTAGTAGCTCAGACGAACTTAATGCGATTCTGAACAATATCCTTGTACAGAAACCTGTTCATCAGGAAGGTATATATCTTCTTAATTCTCAACTGCGTCCTATGGGTATTACGTAATTGATTCAAGCTTTAGGTGATGATGCCAAGAAAATATCAGTAGCTTCAGCAGCTACCTCAATTCTTGTGATCCAGTGTACGGTTCTGGTCAAAAGATGTTCGAGTTCTCAGTATAAGCCCGCGGCTTGGAACGAGTGAAAACTACTGCGCCGTATCTCTGCGCAGCTTATTACACTATTCGAAAATGTCGGCGAGCACGAGGTCGCGCCGTTTCGCGGGATACTTGGCTCGACACAGTAAAGTTGAGATAGGAACACCTCCTAGCGTCCGTAGAATTTCAGGATTGTGCCAGCCAGTCTCCTGGATCGTGGATGAGAAAGTAGTCGGCCGTAGTTGAGCACACAGTCAAAAGTCTCAACGAAATATTTTCGGAGCGCGACTCAAACGAGTTGTGGAACTGGCAACGTTGCACGCACTGTGCGTACGCACACTAGACTAGAAGATAGCGCGGTTAAGTTAGTTCGAAAACAAACTGTTCCTCCTGCACTTACAGCACACTCGTATGTTCATTCCAGTATCAATATATTTCGAAAACACACCGCCTAACTATTCTCTCTCACAGAAAACATTCGACTTACGAGGCCGCGCTGCCCGCGTGGAATCTCTACGCGGAGATGAGTAGCACGGCCGAGAAGATACGGCAACGCCGCACGCACTTGCGTGTGCGTCGGAGATGGAAGGCGATACGAAAATTTGGAATAACGACGTCGCCAACAGCAGCACGTTCACTAATCCTGTTATGAATCCTCATGGGCTCGTATCGGCACACTGGTGTAGTCTGGTGCATTCAAGAAAATACGAGATTTCCAATGAATTTTCAATGAGAATTCAACGAAAAAACTCGATTGCACACGGCCCGAACGTTTCAATATGCTTAGCGCGCGTCACAAACACTTTCTCCAGTTTTTAAATACAGGCTCTGCTTTGTTGTTAATGCACGATGGACACTTCCCGCCAACCGCAGTGACAGATACACACGTCGCACACGTCGAACGCGTCCTCGAGAGTGGCGAGAGCGCGCGTGTTTCCCGGGCGATCGTGGAACGGCGTTTGAACGGATTGCGTAGTAGTAGTTCGGTGCGGCGAGGAGCGCGGAGACGCGTGGCGTACGTGCGAAGCGCTCTCTGGCGACTGAGACGGTCCCTGCTATTTGCAAGCGTCCCTGTCTCGGTACCGCTCGGGTGACTTCGTCAAACTTCGGCTCGCTACACTCCTCGTTCCCTACCACGCCAAAGGAGTGTCCAAATAACCGCCACTTCCACGATATGCTTTACTCACTACAAGTGCTAGAACGCGCCACATTGAAACGTACTTCTTACGTTTTAAAATATAGGGCGATTTTGTAGAACAATATATTTTCAGAAATAAATCATAAATTCGGTGATGATAATACATGTTTCTCATTTCATTTAAATTCTTATGAAATTTTTATAAAAAAGTTTAACCTTGTGTCTTGGGGTGGAATCAGCATTTTCATAGCGTCCTACAAGCTTCATAAAATCGAAATAGTTTAAGGATTCAACACGACGCGTTAAGAGTGAAGCTTTGCAAAATAAAAGTTTACCTTGCATTGTTGTGCTAAACGAATAGACGGCACAGCCGTTACGATGTGCCTTAATCGGCATAACGAAAATTAGCAAGCTGCTTCGATTAAAGAAAAAAAAAGAGTATTTAATAGATATGAAATCGCAAGACCAACATTAATACATGTTTCATTTCAAAACAACAGCATTGACTCTTAATCTTATCAAGAATTGCATGCACATACCATATGGTTCACCGAATTTAAATGTTTTGCAGTATGTTATTTTATGCCTTATTTGAATTTCCTTGAGATTATCGTTAAGGTTTATCCTCAGCAATGACTGATATCAGCGACATGCATTACTTGCGAGACCTGTACGATCTGTGAGATTATCAGAAATCCTCGCAGTGACCGATACGACTGAAACGAAGACTCGTTGGGACTAACGGAAGGCCATTACTATTATGAGATATAAAACCGTCCGAAAGTGACCGATGATTTTGTAGTAACATTTAAAATAACTGGATTAAACATGATCACCGTAATATTACCTTAACTCAAGTCACTTGAATGTTATGTGCAGTCCGTAGAGGAAAAAAAATCTATTGAAACAAATTACCGTAAAACTTTAGTACTGAAATAATGACCATTCATAAATGAATCGTCTTGTCCTCCTCTGGTCAGTAAGTACCAGTGGAGCCACTTTAAGCGCCGGCATAAAACTAACGAGACAAATCGAGACTTTTCATTGATAATTGTCAATTTACTTCATCGACGCTCAAGGTTTATTGCCTCGGGCACCGAGAAAGCGTCTGGCAGCATCGCAATCCATAAACAACTGACAAGTCTGAGTGAATCGACTGTACAAGAGCTAGCGGCTGGACCAATCGGAGCGTCGTTAACAGAGGCATGGCTGTCGAACGCGTCGGAGTTTCGATTGAAGATTCTCCCGCTAGATGTCAGCACCGCGGATCGCGGGAGTAGTTCAAAATACGTAAACAAAACACGTTCACCGTCGTAATACAATTTCATTAGAACATTGCATACAGAAAGTTCCCAATCGGATTAAACTTCATCTAAAAAGCAGATGCGTCATGTTTACCAGAACAGATGGTCTCAGAGGAATAGCAGAACTCTGGTATTTCTCTTTTAAAAAATATTCCAAACATTTTCTCCCCCCCTTTTGACATACGTAAATCTCTACGTCATAAAGCACTGCACGTTTTCTCATCTCTTCCTGCTTCGACTCTCATATGGTATCAAGTTTCAAAAAATATTCCCATGTATTGGGTCTTGGTACAACAGACCCCACGCAGCATCCAGGAAGTGGCAGGAGCCCACCGGATGTCCACTAACTTGAATGGAGTCCTTGCGAATCCACGTAAAACAATCGGATCACCAGTTATAAATAACTTAAATAATCTTACCCAGCCTCTCACTTCTTCTTCAACTTCTTTCTCTATTCTAACGATATTCTCACCTCTGGCACGAAGGTGGGAGAATTTACGTATTCACTGTACAATGGCTCGACCACTTTTCATGGTTGCAGGTGCTACACTTGCCAATATAATTCGTGGCTTATCAACAGTGTCTATACATAAACGCAAGGATTTCACGCGCCATACGATAATCTTGGGACACACGATGTTTACTCGAGAAACAAGTAATAACTGACGCGCCATCTGCTGCATGTTTACTTCCTGGAGGAAGCACCTGCGGAGATTTTTCTAAACTATCAAATGTTACTTACGTTATCGTTATCTCTGTGGCAATATAATTTATAGACTAATAATACTTAACTATTTGAAATTTCGAAACGTATAAAATATTTGAAATTCCATAGATGGCTACCGTCTTTTTAAATTTCTCAGGGTGTTCCTTCGCTCTTTCTCTTTACTTTCTTTTTTATTCCGTTCTTCCTTTGTCACACTTTTTTTTCTCTCCTCTTTTTCTCTTTCACATACTTTTGTCTACACAATTTAACTCCACCCCCGTATTCTTGCGGAAACAGTTCGCTCGGCGAGGATCAGCAAGTGAATAAGGTCCTGGGCACGTAGAATGATCGCACGTGGAGGTGTATGGGACATGTGCAAATCCTTTGTCGCATTCGCGATTGTGCGACTTCCGTGGGAATTCGCGGAACGGAAGTGCAAATTGCGCGAAGCAAGACGGAGGCTGGAGCAAGACGTAAGCGATCCTCTCTTGGACTCTCTTTGTAGAGAGGGAGGAGAAAGGAGTGAGGAGAAGCAAAACAAATAGTACAACAGAAGAGGGATATTGCGAGTGAGAGAAAAAGAAGCTGCCAGGTGCACCTTGCGCGGTTTTAGATGTCCGACAGTCCCGAAACCGATTTAGGCCCATTCTAATCTACCGCCCAGTAATCGATACGGCTCGGTACTATAAGTCGTTCGAAAATCAGGAGTTCGACAAAAAGATGAACGGGCCCCTTGGAAGACTTAATGATAATCGGTGGACTTGCAAAAAAGTTATACCGGAATTAAAAGTCTAGCGTATCTTGACCTGACCCACTTTCCTAGCAGGATGAACTCGTCAGGGCCGTATTGTTCCATAACATACCATGAGGCGCATGACCTGCGATCAATCAGGAGATTTTACCCTCTTGCGATGTTAGACTCGGTTGCCTGCGCACGTAATACGAATCTATCACGCATTACGTCATATCTGATTGTGAGGCTACACGTTACAATGGGACCTACGTCTACACTACGTGAAGTAAGTCAGACTCTAATTTTGAGACCCAGACTCCTAAATAGGGTCCAGACTACGTTGATTTTGCTATAGTGCAAAGCATATTCCTTACCTATGACACCAACTATGCTACTTTCTACAGGATTAAGGATGCTGCTAATTCATTATGAAAGCTCTGGAGGGGGGATAAGTATAAATAGTCAAGATGGATACGACAGATGTTTCTCTTGGAAGAGTTATTCGACTTGAATCTAGGTCGTGCATGAGTTGAGTGCAATAAACATGGCGTAGGATGCATTTCCGGTTATCAGCTCGAGGAGCATTGCCGTATCAAATAATTTGACCTTAGTGATATGGGATTTGATTGAGGGTTTTATAAAGTTTGATAGGAATATATTAAATATATTTTGAAATTCTATAGAACGTGATACGTTCGAATTTTTGTTATAAATTTATATAATTTACAATAGTGTATTTTTCATATAGTGATGTGTTAGGATTATTTGTAATATCGCATATTTTATATAGTCATGTATGAGATTACATCTATGTCTCTCAGTATCTTATAAATTACACGTATAACGTGTAAATATATAAATATCACCGTTCGGTGAGAAAATTTATAATAAAACGTCTATTAACAAATAATATTTGAAAAATACATTTTTTTAAATTCTATCCTAATTTTGGACCAATATCTTAAATTTTCAGGTATCTATTAAGTGTTATCTATACCAATTCAAAGACTAGATTCTTCCGTAAGGATTAATTGAACTTTGGCACATTTATCGGTGCGTCAATTTTTTAAATAAAAAACTTTCTTTGTATGTAGCAAATATTCCCGGTACTAATAAATGCATTTTAAATTGATAATTTTAAATATTAAAATCATACCGATTATAAATATGTCAAAAGAATATAAATATTTCGTTGTAAAGGCTGTTATTCAATTTTCTTGTAAATTATCCGAATTACTTTTAGAATTCTCACGATTCTCTCTCTCCACCGGGATTACGTCAGTGCCATCAGTCTTTTGAATATTTTCCAAATTTGCTTCCTGGCTCCTTGCATCGCTTTCCGAAACGACTTTACGCCATTCCCAGCGACCAGGCAGAGGCTCCTCTTTTTCAAAATCAAAATTCCATCGTCTCTTCTTCTGCAATAAGAATACAAATACCAAAGAGTGATTCAAAAAATGTAATTTCAAAAAACACAAACTTTTTCAAACTGTAATTCGGTAAAATAAAGTAAAAAGAAATAAAATTTACCTCTTCTAATTTCCTTTTGTCTTCCTCAATCAAATCATTATTATAATTATCATTAATCCCTATAGCAATACGTGGCTCATCATTGTCGTCATCGTTCTGAAATAATTTTCTGCGCACACTTTGCCTGCTTCTGCTCCCAGTCCCTTTCCGAGCGTCCGACTCCCTGTTCTGCATTGCCAAGCGGGAACTAAAAAAAATGCAAGAAAATTCGTCGCCAAGGAGTCAGACAAAAAAGCGTACTATTAAAAAAATAAAAAAGGAAGAAACAAAAAGTCAGTTCCAATTGGTCGAAATTGCTCCTAAATTCAATTACTCCTATCAGCAGTCCAATATCAGTATGATTTATCCTCGGCGTCCTTAAACGCTTTGCAGCATCCTACCGGAGGTATGCACGCCCCTCTAACAATAGGACATTAACAAATCCTTATCGCACATACGTGCCATGTTATCCGAAAGGCACCTGCAGGTAGGAGTAAATACATTTTTGGTAAATTTATCAAAAATATTGCATTCCTTATTTTCCAAATATTCATCTCCTCCCTTGATTCACATTACCAGCCAATCCATATCAAATAAGACAATTCAGCCATCCAATTAACGTACGTATAACCTGTACCAGATTCTCATATGCATTTCCCACTAAATCTATACCGACAACTATTCAACTGTCAGTCAAATAAAAATCCACACACGTACGTATCCTGAACATACTATTTATTCCTTTTCAAAAAATTTTGTTATCAACGCACGAAACTCATTAAACAAATATTTGCAGTTAGTAATATAAAAAGTTTGACAAGCACCTATTTATGTTTACCCGTTCTGCCACGAGTCATCGTGACTCTTACAGTATTACGTAATCACCATATGCATATGAATATAATTTTTCAATAATTTTACAATTCTTAACGATCTCCACACAGTGATATAAAATTAATAATTTCTTACCTTCTTCGATCATCGACTCACTTCGACAAGGAAATTAATCGACGAATTTTCATAATATTTCTACCTGACTGTACGATCAGCGCTACTACTGGTTCGGCAGACAGTTTCCCTACCGTATGAACTAATCGATAAGCTGTTTATTCGCGGGGGTGTCTTACGCCCTTTAGCACATAAGAGAAACAGGGGTTGATATGTTGCGCGCGCACCCTGCGCATGCGCACTGAACAGTTCAGACACGTGACACGAATTGTTAGTATTTATCAAGTAATTTTAGAAAAACATTTTTTTTTTTTTCTTTATTCGAAGAATCTATTTTTAGCGGGTTTTAATTTTTTATCAGTCTTTAAGGTATCAATTGCTATACTTGATAAAGCGTATTAATCGAATTTTATTAATAGAGTTAGTTATTTCCTTATCATTCAATTAGACTGATTTTTTTAGCTATGTTAGACTCAGTTGATTCCACTAACCTATTGAGCGACTCACTCGAACCGCGACTGCAACGCGAATGCAACTGACTAGCCTAGATTCAAATAGCCTCAATGTGAACGGGGCAATGTATGTATATATATATATACGTCTGTACGTCTCCAGCACGAGTTTAAATGCAGAGTCTATAATTCCCAATTGTGATTTAACAGTTCAATAAATATTGACGATTCCTCACAATATAATACCGTTATTACATATGTTGCTTGTAGAAATCAATAATTAATTAATGACAATCTATCACGGTTAACAATAATAGGTCACCATTGTATCTTATATGCAAATTTTGTTTCCATGTCAATCCATCGAAATAATTTCGCACTGCGTGAAGTTGTCGATTTCCATATGATATTTGTCGATATACACGTATATTAGATGACTATAATTTTCCATCATTATATCAACGACTAGTTTCTCTTCCTGGTCACGCGAAATTCTTCAGTCTTGTGCTCAGCTGCACTTTCTCACGTTGCGCACTCGTTGCCAGTGCATTGCAAACGCATTGCGATTCGTACGGCACGTAGTCATCCGATACTCGATATTCTCACGCGGCTAACTTCACACCGTTCGATGGTCATTCCCACGCTGATCAATATAGGTATACGAATAATTCGTGCGATATCATTGAGATTCTGAATGATCAATCGAAACTGAATTAATTATAAGTGTAGGTCAAATTAACATTAATCTTAAAGACAAGATTATAATAAAAAAATTTTAATTCACTGTCAATTATTTCATTGATACAATTTTTCATTTTTTTCAAAATGCATCTGATATAAGTAAACAAGCATAGTTAAATATCTATGGTCGCCGGAATATTGCGTGCACTATGAGAATTTCGAAACAATGCCGGGAAGTTAGTCCCGGACAAGCACCTGGATAGGTTGGGTACGTAGGTAAGTAAGCACTGTACTATAGGAAAAAGGTAGGCTGTTATGGAATATTCTCAGAACAATCGTAATTCTCGATAAAGAAAGGATAGATAGGTAAGATACGTACGTTGCATTGAAAACCTGCAATTCTTCTTCTTACAACCAGCAATCTATACGTAGTATTGGTTGCTGCATTGGTTCTACTTTTTCACGTAGCAGCGCCACTGGTACGACGGATGCTTTTTTTACCTTGCCTTATATGCCGTTGCGTTTTCTTTTATTATGAAAACATTTTCGAAACACAACAAAGTCTCGGTCTATTTACAAGTGAGAAGCAGGAAGAAGCGATTAAACGGGTCGTGCAATTTTTTAAATTGACACACAGAACGCGTCGTGGAATTTGATTAATATTTATAAAGCCTTTCTTCGTGCACTTCCCGTCTTATTATTTGCATTTAATACAGCAGTGCTTTCGATTAATTAAATAATAATAATAATTGCCGGGACCCGACATAGTTCCAGGAATAATTTCATATTTGGTATAGGGTGTTTACTCGTATCGCGTTATAAAACTTTTTAATCATTTTTCAAGTATCCCATAGGATAACCTTGACCGGGAGTCTCGTACGTCCTTGCTTCGCTTTGCTTTACTATGTTTTATTCCTCGAACGGAGTTCTGGCTGAACCCTGAGTTTAGCCGGGTGTGACTGGTATGCATGTAACCTCGGGTTAGACCAGCATACGGTACCGGGATTGCTAATTGAAAGTAGTACCGTTAGTGGCTGTGAGATGCTATTGTTTGAAAATTCGAAATTGTTTGGGAAATCATCGTTAAGGTTGGTTCATACGCGTATATACGTATAATAAAAATAAATCATCTCGTCCGAGCTTGACGAAGAAAAAAATAATATTGAAAAATTTTTTATTATAAATATTGCAGTAAAATTTAATTTTTTGAAGTTGCATAATATTTTGTTAAATTCAACATCACTTCCGGTAAGAATCCGTTGCGGTCAAACATTCCTTCCGTTTACAGTGCAAACCCTTCAGACTATTCTCTGTCATCACTGCTATATACAGGGGAGACAATGAACTCGCGAGGATTCTCAATGGAATGCATATTCATTCACTCATTCATTCGTTCATTCCTTCACGGTTCGCGGCGGTCGGACACATGTACCGCTTCCTCAGATCCGCCTATACTGCCTGCGTGTTAAATCTTGAGAGGAGGTTCACTCTGAGGCCAACTGTCGCTTCCTGTATATTTACAGACCTTGAAATATATTCGAGAGTTAATCGTGACGACGACGAGCATCCTGTACGGGTATAGTGATTTTTCAAAAAAAAAAAAGAGAAATTTATTTGGAGATATTTATTTTAAAAAATTTTCAAAACACAACAGTTTCTCGACTTAAGAATGAGAAATGGGAATAATCGTTTAAACGGGTAATGCAATTTTTCTGTTTATACGAAACAGTCGTTTGGTATGATTCCGTAGATAAGGAAACTGTGAGAACATAATATTGAATTTTTCAAATTTTTTTTTTCCCTTTTCATTGATTTCCCCCTTTTTCACTTTTCTCGTAATAATAAGCTCTAACGAACAAGATGGCTATCGTCACACCCCAGCATAAACGTCTACCCTTCCAGACGCAATATTCCCCAACGTTTAAACTGTCGCGCCCTCCTTCTTTCTTCTTTCCAAAAATAAATACAGCACCCCTCTCTGTTTTTCTATAGGTCAGAGACACGAGCTAGGATTTTACTTCGCCCCTCGGATGTGGTTTAAATAATGGGGGCGGGAAGGGAAAGGGAGAATTCATCCAGACTGGAAGTGCTGCTCGACCCCTCGCACAGCCCTTGACTTTTCTACCATTTCCTGTCGCACGTTTCCACTACCCCTCAACACCCCACCGTACTTCATCCCTAATTCCATGGAAAAGTCAACGGACGTCGTTCACGTGCGGAGAACGTCTTCTCGGGAGTCTATATCGGGAAGAAAAAGAACAGGGGGGAGGAAAGAAACATAACGGTGGGAAAAAAATGCTTGATTCTCAAAGTAATCAACATTAACGGAGTCTAATAAAATGTTAAAAAAAAAAAAAAAATTGAAAAATAGCAAAAATGAAAATTTCTATAATTTACCATATTTTGCAGCAAAATGTTGATAGAGTACGGTAAAAGAAAAATTTAGAACAAAGTTGCGCTTTCTAGTTTCACGCCAAGAATAGAACGGCGTAGGCCGTCGCTTGGCCAGCCACGTAGTAGACGGCATGGTTTATTTAGCGACTTGAGTAAGGTCAGCCTCGCACGCGGCAGCGTGGTTATTCCGATTCCAAATGATCAATGGTAAACTCGAAGAGAACGATAAAACGTTCAGTTTACAAAGAAACGCCAAAATCATTACGGTACGACTAAAAGATCGATAAATCGAATTAAGGTACGAATCGAGGTAAGTATCCTAGTAAAAGAAAAAGAGAAATGGATGTTTTGAAGCAACGAAATATGGATGCGAACAAGGAGAAAAGAAAAGAGTGTTCTGTCAGTTGAGGTAAAGAGACTCGAGTAGCTACAGTGATGAAAAAAAGGGACACTGCCTGGCTCGAATGTGGGCGCATTCAACCTGGCTGAATTTAAAACCCGGACGGCAGACAATAACCATCCTCCCCGTCGTCGAGCGTGTCCGCCGTGTCCACTCTGGAACATGGAAACCTAACCCTCGAGATTTGCGCAGGAAGAGCCGCTCCACGTAACGCAACACTTTCCATCCACTTTTTTTCTTCTCTTCCACATCCTTTTGTCTTCGCAATTTAACTCCACCCCCGTATTCTTGCGGAAACAGTTCGCTCGGCGAGGATCAGCAAGTGAATAAGGTCCTGGGCACGTAGAATGATCGCACGTGGAGGTGTATGGGACATGTGCAAATCCTTTGTCGCATTCGCGATTGTGCGACTTCCGTGGGAATTCGCGGAACGGAAGTGCAAATTGCGCGAAGCAAGACGGAGGCTGGAGCAAGACGTAAGCGATCCTCTCTTGGACTCTCTTTGTAGAGAGGGAGGAGAAAGGAGCGAGGAGAAGCAAAACAAATAGTACAACAGAAGAGGGATATTGCGAGTGAGAGAAAAAGAAGCTGCCAGGTGCACCTTGCGCGGTTTTGGATGTCCGACAGTCCCGAAACCGATTTAGGCCCATTCTAATCTACCGCCCAGTAATCGATACGGCTCGGTACTATAAGTCGTTCGAAAATCAGGAGTTCGACAAAAAGATGAACGGGCCCCTTGGAAGACTTAATGATAATCGGTGGACTTGCAAAAAAGTTATACCGGAATTAAAAGTCTAGCGTATCTTGACCTGACCCACTTTCCTAGCAGGATGAACTCGTCAGGGCCGTATTGTTCCATAACATACCATGAGGCGCATGACCTGCGATCAATCAGGAGATTTTACCCTCTTGCGATGTTAGACTCGGTTGCCTGCGCACGTAATACGAATCTATCACGCATTACGTCATATCTGATTGTGAGGCTACACGTTACAATGGGACCTACGTCTACACTACGTGAAGTAAGTCAGACTCTAATTTTGAGACCCAGACTCCTAAATAGGGTCCAGACTACGTTGATTTTGCTATAGTGCAAAGCATATTCCTTACCTATGACACCAACTATGCTACTTTCTACAGGATTAAGGATGCTGCTAATTCATTATGAAATCTCTGGAGGGGGGATAAGTATAAATAGTCAAGATGGATACGACTGATGTTTCTCTTGGAAGAGTTATCCGACTTGAATCTAGGTCGTGCATGAGTTGAGTGCAATAAACATGGCGTAGGATGCATTTCCGGTTATCAGCTCGAGCTGCAATACCGCATCAAACGTGCAAACTGAGCTGAGAGGCTCCATCGTCTTCGTAGTCGATAGCTAAGCTATATATTACAGACGCACCTAATGTCACAGTGCTTATCTCTGGCCGGACTTATTAAATCACAATGGAATGATCCAAATCCAAAGACACGACCACAGTTGCAGTGTCTTCCAGGATTTGTAACCAGAAGCAATGAGCTATCTACTTTGAAATTTATGCAATGAACGAAAAAAGTAAAATAGCTTAAAATAAAGTAAATTTTGGCACTAACCACAACGAAAAGTCTTTGCAGCATTCCATTATTGCGTCTTATAAGAATATCGTGTAGAGTTTCATAAAATTGCTGTGCTAAAAGTCGAGAAAAAGAAAGAAGAATCGATTGAAGACACTCGAAGAATGTAAAAAGTTGACTGTGTGAACTTTGAGAATATCTAAGATTGTTATAAGCAACTATTTACGTTGGTAGAGGAAAATAATATACAAATAATTCTTATTGTGTTTAACGGTCTTCGTCTTATGGACGCAGTGCGGTGAGGTAACAGAGGAAAGTGGACGGTGGCTGTCGACGCACCACACTATATAGATATATGTGAAGGCGTGCACGTCGAGCCCCCGAAGACACACACGCGCGCGCGTGTAGAATCAAGGTCGTATTTAAAATGATGCAATGAAACACTCAGGAAATAAAAGTGACAACAGGAAGTAAATATATCGCAATGCGATAGTTTCATGGTATATAAAAAATAAATATTCTCGCTTTCGTATCATATAACCAGATAACACAACGTGTGTATGAAAATCAGTTGAAATAATTTTCTGCAAATATTTGCTGGGAATATGCTTCAAATTTGCCATGAAATAGAAATAAAGAGAGCAATGCTAGCGAATACATAGCAGAAGCTCGGCAATTATTGCTGCAAGCCAAGTGTAGATTCCGTGCTGTTGTTGTTGCAAATCTATTATGCAAATATGCTAGAAAAAGTAATTACTTGAAGAAAATAACTATTTATTAGCAATTATTTTTTCTATTCGTACGATCTGAACATGATCAACTTTTATTATTGGACTTGTAATAAGAAGGTATGTACGTAGTATAATTTTAATTTTAACTTTTTTTAAACAGTTATTCTATTTTAATATTCGATAAAAGTTTAATATATACAGATATACATGAAGATATACAAAAAAGTCTTTTTAAAGTTACCGTCACAATTGTCGTCTAATAGACGACTTGCTCAGAGGAATCTTACTGTCTAAAAATGAATTAGAGAAAATTGCACTAATCATTTCAGCTTTTTTTTTTAATTTACTGAAAACAGTCATTTTTTGTTTAATCCACTGTTAAATCAATGGGCTCGTATCAGAGGAGCTTGTAAAGGGTTGATTGTGGTGGGACCATAATTTTTTCATCGCGACTCTAAGTCGCATTCCAATATCTGTTACATTCGGTATCAGCTACTTTCGCTATGATACAACCTGACCATACTAACGAACAGTGCAGTGATGCAGCTTCCAATAGTGTTATGATAATAGGGTACTTCCCTTCGCGAAGTACCTAAGTCATGCTTGTAGATATTCGTGTGACTGTCTATGGCAACAGTGATTTTGAACTTCCATGTTTTCATACTTATGAATATTAACTATGAAACTATTAATTTAATCGTAGTAAAATTTTAAAATTGGCCTCAGTGACTGGAGTGTCACATTCCTTACTTCGAGTCGGGATGCTCGAAGTAAGGATCGTAGGTTCATTTTTGAAGAATCGATCAGCATCCGCAGGCAATTTGCTATTAGTTTACTGCTAAAAATTTGAACCGTGTATTGCTGTAAATATGGCAACAAGTGAGGACGCATGTTCCTATGGTTTTTGATAATGCATATAACGCCTTGCCGCGCGATAGCTGTCCTATTTGCGCGCACGTTGCTACGTCGATTCACAGTAAACAAGCACTAAAGTGCTTATAAAACAATGTCTGTCGCATTTAGACATCTCGAAGACCATTTTCGTACAGTATACAGAGAACACGCGTACATGTTGATATATACCGCTACTTGTATCTGGCATCAGTACTGGTATCCACATCGACATTTAATTGATTACCTACTCAAGAAATTTCGACAACATAATTTCGAAATGAGTGATCGTAATTCGCGCAGGATTTTAATATTCTTTAAGAAATTGACTCTTTTTTTCTGAGAATTTTTTGAACTTGGTAAAGCGTTATATTCAGACTGTAGAAATACATTCTGTGACGAGGTTCAGTATATTATTTTGAAGTGGTGCCACTTCGGTACACTTGAGCTGATCTAGCGATGCCAGTTCGGTGAAGTGAAAGAGCAGTTTCTACCGAAACCATAAATGATCCTTGCTCTAAAGATTTCTTAAAGTAGTGGGGTTAGAATTTTGCTATAAAATTGACCCTACGTTTTATAAATATCTGGTCGAAAGATTTCAAGCAGCTGCATCTGAAGCTCAAAATAAAATTTCTTTACCGTCTAGATTAAATCGATATTAATTATGAAAGTTGGGCAAAATTAAGGTTATGGGCGAAGAAATAGTTGTATTCAGTCATATGTCAGTAGGTAGCCCACTGCTAATTCTCTCAAAGAGATTCGCGACCATTTGTAGAAGAAAGAGAGCTTACCTCAGCAGATAGTGAACAGATAGAACAGAAAACTTAGATAGAAAACGATATAACAGAAACCAGACTAGTTAACGATAGGCTAAATCCGCGTCCAGTACCGAAGAAAGTCCCACGACGAAAGAGGGCGATGTAGGACCCACCGGCAGCAGCTAGGGTCTCTTCCCACTCGAGCCCCGTTCCGCATACCAATGTTTACACTATGAGAATCGCGCCAAATTTCACCAATTCTCGATGATTAGAAAAAGACGTTCCCCCGCAACATATGAGAGTCGCCTTAGTCGCAAGTAGGTAATAGGAATAGTATGGGAATGAGTATGGCAACAGTATGGCTCTGGTATGGCTAAGAGTATCCTGAGCAGTTGACGCTCCATGCGCACCCTCGGGAGCAATCGCTGAGGTACTGTAAGCAAAGCCATCCTTCGCCCGTAGTGAAGCAGCACCCTGGAATTCCACTGCGTGACGTGGCTCATGTCAATTACGTCACACGGAGACGTTTTATTTCACGGATCTCGATGGTGCCATGATCGATCCCTTTCTCGTGGGTGGCGGAGATGTTCGCCTCTCAGAGGTACCTAAAGACAGTCGGAGACAGCTGAGGCAATTGAAGGTACCAGAAGGTGGCTGCACGCAGGTAAATTCGTAGATGGATTTCTTGCCTGTGGTTGACGGACGGATGTATTGTCGGTGGTGATAACCAGCCTGGGAGGGAACTCGAGCAGTCGGTAAGGTAATCCCTCTTTCGCATCGGTAGAGTCCCAAAGGTAGCTGGGCTCCGAGCTGGATAGGGAGTCTCCTCTCCACAGGCAGTAGTTGATGACGTAGAGGTAGCGCGAACAGAGTGACAGTACAATATGTGCTATTGGATATAAAATACTAAATTCCAAGGTGGCCCCCCGCGCCTGCGCCAATGGATATGGTTGCTCCCGTGGGATGCAAAACTACCCCACTTCATCATAACCGTATCCCAGGCTCGTGACTTGCATTTGAAAATTGCTACGTCACAATATATATATATTGTGACCTTATCCTGGATTTTATAGGCGGGTCAGTCGCAGGAACTTTAAACGCGAAAGGGGAGTGCAAGCGAAAGAAGGGGTCGCGGGGGTAAGATAGGAGTAGTATAATTGATAGAAAGATCATCGGTAGAAAAGATGGAAAAAAAAATAGAAAACAGAACTAGAAAATAAACGAAAAGATAGATGCAGTGAAAAAAAAAACAGAAGTCAAAAGACAGACTAGGCTAAAGTAGATAATCAAAGTTATGCCAGGAACGGGGGCTCGTTCAGGAGCATGCAATGCCGCAACGGACTGGGGACTTTATATTGTACGCGGGAAAGGGGGTTCGGGGAAGGCGGAAAGGTATGAGGGGGCAAGGGAGGGAAAGGAGTTTACCGGCACTTAATATTCTTCTCGGAACAAAAATTGGGCGCCAGGTACGGTAACGGTATAGCACCGACAGTGACCTCGCAAGGCCTTCCAATATTTACTTTACTTGAAATGGCACGACTGGCGGGAAGAGGAGAGGGGTCTTTCGAGAGAAGGTTCCCGATCGTAGCAGCTTCATAAATACTATCTCGGTATCTTGAACAATCTATGACGCAAAGGCGCGAGAGGGGGTGAACGGGTTTTAGGGAATAAGGACGCAATATACTAAACTGAAATGCACATCACTCGACGTCGTGTTAGAGACAGAAGGTCGATTTCGAATTCGAATATACAAAGGAAATTGCCGATCCTCCACGTGGGCACGGGTTGCAATAATCAGAGAGGAAACACTATGAAATAAAGTATTAGAAAGGGTGGAAAAAGGGAACTCAATCAAGCAAAGTCTTCGCTCAAAATAGCTCGGACGTAACGATATTCAAAAGTTGCTATTCTCTTACACAAAATTTTCACTCGAAATTCGCTAGTCGCACTCTTTCGCATTTTGGCTCGAAGTAGGGTCTCTCCCGTTTCCGGTCTTCACTGGTTTCCTCGATGGGCCTCCGGGGCCTAAGGAATTGGCTGATCTCAGATCTGAGAAAGCTACGCGCTTCGGCATGGTCCGCGGGTCGGGCATGGCAGGTTCTGATGCTTTGGTTTGGTACCGTACTGGCAGGACTCCAGGGTCTTGCTTCTCCTGGATACGGTGTGCACCGATTTTCGCTGGCGTGCTGGTGTTGTCTTCCGACCACTGGGTAAGATGGCGACCTCCATGAACTGTCAAATAGTGCTCTGGGGTATATCGGCGGAGTTGGAAGGAGAAGGCTTTACCTCTGCCACACAGGCCTAGTAGCTACCCGTGTGAAGGGACTGCACCAGGGGTTCGAATCGGCTGGGTGGCTGGCTGTTGGGCCTCGATATCCTCCTGGCGGTCTCAGTCAGCTGGTCCTCCTGCACATGCCTTTTCCGCATTGTGCTGCCTGGGTCAACGTAGCCACTCAATCTCGAATCTAATTTCGTTGGTGGCTGGTCCTTGGGGATGGTCCTCGAAGATCTCCGAATCAGTGTCCTAGGGGTTGGGGAGATGGGATGGAAGGGTAGGGGTCTTACGCTAATAAAAATGGGCCTTAAACAATAAGATATAATGAATGGACCAGATACGTAATAATGGGACTCGCGGCGAGTGCTGTCTCCGAACCGGTTGGTGGGGAGGAGCCTGTAGAAAAATAATTTTATAAATATACTCGTACGTGCCTTTAAGGATACCTAGCTATTCCGGGTACCATGTGACTATGTCTTCATCAAGTCCTATAGTATCAGATAGCACTCCTGTGCTACCTGACGCAACCCTTTGAAGATGATCATGCATCGGTTGCACCGGTTTTCAAGTCACTTTTGGAACCATTCGCTTAGAACGACCGAAACAAACGGACGCTTCTGGCATTTCGCTTGTTATTCTTTGCTGGAAGTGATTTCATGCTCGAGAGGACTTCTCTCCGGCCTACAGACAGGATCTAGGCGAGGCATCCTGTCAGTTTTACTTCTGGAATCCTGGTCGACTAGTTGGCATCCAGAATGAGCCCCTTTATCCTTGTCAGGAACCCTTAAGATTATAGAACCTTGAATAAATACCTAATACTTAATAGTAAAGGACTTATCTTTTGTTTATACCCTTAAGTACGTATTCTCACCAGGTTAGAAAAAATGTATTCATTTTTTGTAAATTATGCCAACCCCTTGATCATCTGACAAGTATCAGACAATCTCACACCTAGGATCTTCAAGATCTTTGAGGCACCACTTCTTGTCCGTTACTCGTTATCGAGTCTCACGTTCTTGAGGAAATTCTGAACGAAGCCCGGGAACGTCCTTTATTCTCAAGTCTTCAAGGGAGCGACAATCGCCTCGGCTGACTAGCACAAAGAGTTTCTTGAACTCGACGAAAGAGAGTGCCAGGCAGGTGGATGTCCGGAACAGTCTGTTAACGGTTGCTGCGAACCGTAACGACTTTGCGAATCGCCATCTTACACGACTCCTCGTTGCTGCTGCGCCTCCGTGCTGTAACGCAGAATGAATTTCAATATTTTTTCATAGAGATTTCAGATTACAAAATTCACAATCAAGCTGTGTATTCGTATACTCACTGTCCAGGAGTCCAAGTTCCCAGAGAAGAAGCGTGAGACAGGACGAAGGATATATCCCAGTGAATGCTGTATACCGGGTGGCGGTTTGTCGTACGATACAGTTTTTGCGGTGTCTTGCTTCGGTGATCAGAGGCCCCGTGGGACTGAGGAACCACAGGTCCCAATCGAGAATCTCCGGCTCTGGATACGTGTTGTTGGTTGAAATTCAATCGCCGTCGAATCGATGAATGAAATACTTTCCCAAAGAAATTTATTAAGTTAAATTAATAAATCGCCATTTAATATACCCCATAATAAATCTGAAACTCGTAATCATAAGAATTAGAATAATTTTGGACAATCCCATACAATTTTAAATGATCAACCATCTCATTCTATACGTTACCAGCTGGGACTTATCAGGCCCACTTTTACTACCAGTCGGCGTCTTAAGTTAACATTCCTGGAGGAACGGCTGGCACGAATCTGGACCGGATACACGTTCTCGTATATGGGGTGCGTGCCCTGTTCGTACACACCGCGGTATACAAGAGGATCTGAAAACTCTGCAAAGGAAGGAAGAGGATAAAAAAAAGGTCCAAAGATAGGAGACACGTGCGCGCGTACTCCTCCACATGTCGAAAAAAAATTTGAAAAAAAAAAATTCTCGCACATCCAAACAGCTGCACGTTCCAGCGGTACCATATAAATAAATCTTTCATTTTTCTACTCAGATCTGATGCAGAACAAGTTTCATCACCAAATGCCAAAGTCCCTAGATATACTCCATTCAATTAAACTACACTTTATCAAAGTCCCCAAAATGCTACACAGAGTCTATCCCTACTACGGTATCTGTCATTAACAATAGAAAAGGTGCTGGCAGCAGACTACCAGCAAAGTGGGTAACCAGTTCCACATTGGTCCCGCTTGGACATTGATGGAACGGTGTCCGTTTTTTATTCCTTTATTTGTCCACATAAAAAAAGGACTATATGTATACTTACTGAATAGCCTTAATTTGAAATGTCGGTTGCATCCCCATCCCCTCTGTGTATCTTTTACGGGTGCATTAATGCTAATTTACATAGGTAATGGGACAGGAGGTGTAATACGGTGGCAATGTTATGCCCGCCACTCTCATTCAAGTTTGCCAATCCTCGACCTACTTGACAAGTTCATTAAGGAATACGATAATGCCATTGTAACCCTAACTTACGATGTTTACATCCGGACATGGTCAGTTATTCTGAAATTATGAGGAGGTACTTCGGTGCTTGGTTATGATAAACTTTTTTTTATTACTTTTTTTTTCGTACTCGTATCTTCACGACGGTCACTAGACGGTTAGACACCGTTACGTTTCCAGGTTGGTTAAACTGTGTGAATGTTACACGCGTTCTCTTCCTAGTGGACACTCGCCTTCTTACATTATGTATATAAATAGATACATGCTAGCTCGGGAATTCGAAGGAATAAACGTTTTCGAGCGTGGATACATGTAAATGGTGGTGTTATTTATAGAGAATGTCAATGGAAGGTCAAGCTATTGGAACTAAAAAATAAAGCGCGAACTGATACGCGATAACGACAGGAATCGATTGAGGATGGGAAACGATAAAAAAATTAACGATTTTTAAATTTTATTCAGCTAAATAATTTCGTTGGATGTTCAAGGACTGAGGATTTCTTAGGAGGGAAATTAGGATCGTGCCAATGGGATGTGAATGAGTTTTAATTGAAGTAGATCGCGAGCAAAAAAGTTGATTGATCGGTGGTCGGTATCCTAGCTAGGTACATTATGAATTGCATTGTATATATGTTATATAAACGGCAGTGAAATTAGGGACCCTATATGTTGGATAGACAATCAGGTGTGAATTTGCCTTAAATTCTGGGCCCAATTTAATCAATTTACAGCAACGGGGCACCCCCTTCATTTTGAATTTTACACATGTCACGCGTGATCGATGATCGATATAAATTCATGGGCCACCTGGGATCTGCTTCATATTGATCAATAGTATTTATATGAATATTTTTTCTTGGTAACCGATTTACATATATTGAAAATAAATGTGGGTGTCTATAAGTATCATTGTGAAATTCAGCAGACAATTTTTGTCTCTTGTCGGTTACAGACTTTTGGGGAAAAAATCGTATAATTTTTTTCTAAAATGACATTCGATTGCTTGAAAAGTGTCGCGTATTCAGGAAATATTTTATCGACAGATTTATTCGCGTTAAGTTTCGAAATGAAATCTGGATACATAGTAAGTTTCGGAAAATAGAATACCAGATCTAGAATGACAGCAGGAATATGTAAATTCCACTTTTTCAATATCTTACCTTAGGAATACGTCGTATGTTCATACATATATTTCGCCTTCATTTAGAAAGTGAAAAACAAATTCGCGCCGTTTCCTCGAGTAAGCAGCAATCGTACATGACTTCCGGTATTTTTTAAGTACATAATAAAACAAAAAACCACCGCCTGCTCACTCAAAATAATAATATTAAATATTACAAATCCAACACGGTTGGTAATATCAGTTACAGAGAATAACGTCACGTCCTGTTTTCAACGGAGAATCTACAGGAAGTCAAGCAGTAAACAGCGTGCATCGATCATTACGCCATTACGTGCATTTTGCTACATTTACTCGTTACGAAAGACTTGCAGTCGGTCACAGCACGTGTTTCTCACTTACATTTATCGCTTGTAGAATATTATTGCGTCACTTGTGTATATACCGAAAGAATCGACACTCGGACAAAACGTCGAACACGCGACGGCACGCGACGCCGAGTTGTGCGCATGCGCAGAAGTTACGAGCGTAACGAGAAGTAATAACAACGGCTCAGTGCGGAATGCCGATTGTGTAACATGTGCGATCAATAGTGATCAACGGTTAGTGTCTTTTGTACGTTTATATTAGTACGATTAATGACAATTCGATTTGCAGTGTAATAAACGCATTCAATATCGAGCATTTATAACCTCCAAGAAATGTACACAACACAAGAACATACCAGATAATTAATTGATTTATGATTGATCGACTGGTAACTCGTGCATTAAATTTGAAAATTTTCAATAAGCCCATTATACATAGGATGTCGATTTACGTGTTAACGGAACTTTGAAAGGAGGGATTACGAAATTAGCTTCTATTACCGAAAATAGCCAGCTAGGATGACAACCATTAACCTTGTACCAGCTGCGTCCTATGGGGTTCCTCCAGTCCCTCCCATGGAGTTCTACGGTGCATCATCAGTATTGTAATTAACCGTACAACTTGCAGCCACCCTCATACACCTTGAAGGTAATATATGTATTTGTATATGAGTGCGTACATTTATATAAACACACAGACGCAGTAGGCAACGTGCCACCATAGGTAGAGCTTGATGCCTAACCCCCATGCATTTCTAGAAGACCACCATGGCACGTGTCCAGGTGGATGGGTACGTTATAATAAAGTGCAATTGAGGAACGTGTCCTCAGCTGTCTAATATTCCTGTCTGTTTTAAAGGTGCCGAACGTGGACGATGACAACTCGTGCTACTAGACATTCGACGAACACGCGACTGTTTAATTATGTCTGTGCTAGTAAGTTTCAGTTTTTAGGTTAGGTTAGGTTAGGTTAGGTAGTGCCCGTGTACCGTATGGCATTGTGATGACTAGTTTTAATATTATTTACAAATTTGAGATAACGATTGTTATTCTTCTTGGTAGAATTGAAAGATTTGATAAATACAATGACGATAACACGATGATCCATGGATTTCTTTTCTTCGAGATATTGCAGGTTACTAATATCGTTTGATATTGAATTACTGTAGTATCATTGAATAAGTTTTCTATTTACCAATCATTGTTTTGACGTATGGGTAGACAATACTGAGAAACTATTGTTATCGATGATTCTTGAGGATCTACGGGTTAGGAGAGTATCGGATGACGTTTGAAGGACGTCGCATGAATAAGACTATAATTTCATATGAAATGTTAATCATTATTTATTCGTTGGAATTCTTAAATGCTAAAATTGACTAGAAATTTTTTACGAACTAAGATCAGATATACATAGGATCTCGCTTCAGTGTTCCCATTCTAAATATATGGGGACTTTGCTGAAGCGTTAGATTAAATTAGTAAAAGTTAGTCTTTGGAGGCGCTGCATCGTTGTTCCATTATAAGAATCAACCGTTTCAGGCTTCCGGTGGAGATCACACAGGAAGTCGTTTTAGTGAACACTCCATTCTGAATCTATACAGAATACAAGACAGAGGGGCCAAGAAAGAGAGAGAGAGAGAGAGAGAGAAAAAGAGAAAGGAGTGTTCCATTGTTTCTTGATCTTGACGGAAGGATTCAAACGTCCCGTCAGGATCAAGAGAAGATCCAAGAGGAAGTTTAAAATAACGTATAAATTTAAATAGTTAATGAAAAAGAGAAAGGAGTGTTCCATTGTTTCTAGTGAACACTCCATTCTGAATCTATACAGAATACAAGACAGAGGGGCCAAGAAAGAGAGAGAGAGAGAGAGAGAGAAAAAGAGAAAGGAGTGTTCCATTGTTTCTTGATCTTGACGGAAGGATTCAAACGTCCCGTCAGGATCAAGAGAAGATCCAAGAGGAAGTTTAAAATAACGTATAAATTTAAATAGTTAATAAAAATAAGTGCCCACTCCCTCCTTATCACTTTTTTCGGACTCCTGGGATCCACCCCAAACCTCCATTAATTAATCGCGAATATTTACAAAAAAATCAATTCTCACCTAGCACGCTAGTATCAATGGCTAATACTTAATAACTCTAATAAGTAGCGAATGTGATAAGACAATAAATATACAAATTCGATTATACAAAGTGCAGTCTTCGATACGCCTGCCATCTTTGCTGTCATTGGTCGTGCGAATGACGGAAGCGCCGCTTAGTTCTGTGCCTTGGAAGCTTCTGTACTTGGCTGCTTGGCGTCGCTAGTGCTCTTCTTATTCATGTCGCAGACCTTGCGCGCGCGCCAGTAATCTGCAATGAGAAAATAAAAGGAGTTCATTCAGGATCCACTTACCGCACTTATATGTATGCACACTACACGCTACGTATGTTAGAGGTTTTGTATCCTCGCAGGGTCCAGGTCGATCTTTCAAATGTTTCCTTTTTACTTTTGAATCAAGCTATATAACTCTTTGCTTTTATTGTCTTTCTCATTCAGAGCCAAGAGAAAGAGATCGAGAGAGAGAGAGAGAGAGAGAGAGAGAGAGAGAGAGAGAGAGAGAGGGCCTCTTCGAAAATGGGGGCCCAGGTGCCTCACTCGCGAGTCCCAGCACACTTAAACGACTTCTAACCGATCCGGTTTAGCGATCGAATCGATGCGGGCAGTGAGGCCCCGCATCTGCTAAAAACGGTTGTAGAAATCAGTCTAATTTTCATGGGTACCAACAGTAGTAAGGAGAACGAAAAGAAAAGAACAACAAAGGAATAAGAGCTCTGATAACTACATCGAGACACATATATTGGGTAAGGCCCAAAAAATGTTTGGCTGGGTCAGTTTATTTACGCCGCGTATGGGACAACCTGTAGGCAGGATGGAGCGAGGGGCAAGAGAGAAGGGCGAGCGACCAAGAAAATACGAAATTTCCACGACAATAGCTCCTAGCACAAAACGTCTTCGAAAGGGTCCTACCCCATTTTCGGTCAGGTAGCACCTGAGTCCCTTTCCCTAGTTTGGTGGAGCCCTAAGGCCCACCTTTTTGCAGGGACACGTGACAGGTGCTGCCCCTCCCGTCTCGCCACTACCGAAATCTTCCAGTTTCGCTCATTACCTCCTGCCCTCCCCTCACTCCTCCCTCCCTTCATCCCATTTTATCTTTCATGTTTGCTCCCCATATTTTTCCCCCTCACATATCTTCACGGAAATACCAAAGATACCCAAAACACGTGGAATCCTTAGAGTTTACAAATCCCAGTCCTAAATCAACCTTACTTTGTTATCTTTTGTAAGCAAGAAATCCGTATCGATCCGTATACGTAACGCAAGTATCGAACGTATAAAGACATTTCAAAGTCCAATAGAGCAGCTTGACCAAATTAAAAAAAATAGTGCCAATAAAAAAGAAGAGCGGAAAAAAAAAACTTAAGGTGCAGTAACCATATGTCAGCCTCTTGAGGTATCCTTTCACTACGCACACCAAGTCCGCCATATGGCATCTTCCAAGGTTTTCGTGAATTCTCCCGAAATTTCGTCGAGATACCACCGTCTTGGTGCACTAACCAACATCTGTTTCCCAGCCGATTGTCAGAGCAAAGAAATGAAGAAGCCCTATCCCCTATAAAGGAGCCAGAATCTTGAGTGTCTTCCTTTACCTGTACCACGTAGTCATTGAAAATCCTGCGCAAAGGATTTCCCTGAGGAATAACGGTGGGCAAGTAAGCAGAGAGGTGGCACTGAGATACGTCGGTTGGAGACGAACGGAGGGGTGGTGGGTTCAAATCGGGGAAGGTTCTTTGTTGTTCCTTTCGACCTCCCCCTCCACCCCGCAACCCCCTCTTCTAACAGTTCCAAGTCTCCAGGAAGCCCCAAAGGTTCCTTTAAATCGAGAAGGTACAATAAAGACTTCTTTTTTGCCCTTCCTCCTCGCAGCAAGGACGCTTCTCTTTATACGATCTGGCCATGTCCCTGGCACACTCTTAGGTTATGTCAGGATATTTCAGAAAATTGTAAAACTCAAGATCGATCCGATATGTTGGCTGTAGCGAGATTCAGTGATATTCTGAAAGATACATTTCTTTGACGTTACGACGATTTATTTTACGACTGAGACGTCGAGCGCAAGTGCAATTTGAAAAAGCTCCGAGTAATTCGTGCCATCCGCGATAACGGAGTTTAACCCGTCATGATCGTTCCCGAGCCTTTTGTTACGATCATTGCTCTACATTCCACGGGATGTTGGGCCTTGCGGCATCGCGGCTGTGACCCTTTTTATTGCAGTCGTAAATCGTGGCCGGTATCGATCTCTGCACGAGTTACGCGAAATTACAGGCTCTTTTATATCGTAAACCCTTTTCTCAGTCCGGTGAGATACTGGTGGATAATGACGGTGGGATCGATGTAATACGTGTTTCTGCAACTAGGGATAAGAAAGAAGGTAAAGTAGTGCGATCAAGAGCCAGATGGCTCGCGGCCTTCGAAAGGTCTCCTAAAAACACCATCTTCTTTCTAGATTAAGTTAGGTTAGGTTAGTTTACAGTCACGTCTAGGAGCCACTAACGTCGTGGGAAAAGGCGTTTTAGATGAACGCTCAAGGTATGGAAACAAACAGGTGTCGCTAAGCGAGCATTGGGACGTGGGTCCGTTGCGGGCTGATGAACTTTAAAGCCCCGCAGAGAGTCTTCTTAGTCATATAGCATACTGGGAAAGGTTCCATAAGACACTTCTGAGGATGAGTACCCAATGGTAGTATGGTAGGCTGGTAGGCCTTCGAGGAAGTCTCACTCGGCATTTACTCAACTGCGTGAAACGACCTCTAGCACCAGGAACGTTACGCGGATGAACGAGTTTGCGCAAAATCCAGTCAGGATGCCTATGGGGTAACTGCTGTAGGTATAGTTTGAGCATTGCAAAGTCTATGTATTTCTGTACTGTTTCAGAACTCCATGAGACTGCTGCAATCACGAGTGATGAAGAGCGGGAGAATTCGAAGAATGCGATCGAAGCAAGTTTCTTTCTTGAGAAGGAAGTGGGTCCTTTGATGAGTCAGAAGGGCCTTAGGTATTTCACCTCGAACTTTGTGACTCATTCGAGTGAATCACGCCAGTCGAAAACTCAGTGCGTAGAACAGTCTCCCTTCTAGATCCCTATTACCATCAGAAGACTGTATGAATCTAAAAAAGAAAATTAGACTGACAGCAATAGCGGTACTAAGGTGATATTAAAAGCTTCATTTTTCAATTCTAAGATGTTGGATGGATGGCAAATATTTTTATCAAATCAGTTACAAAGAATACGATTTTATAATGCAAGCAAATTTTTATTCGATTGCTTCTTCGTTCTAAGCGGAATCCTCATGGTCTCTACTACGTTGTGACTATGACGTGTCCCATAACGGATCATCTATCCTGAGGTCCCAGACCTCGGACAATCTTCAAGAGCAAACAAAGATAATCCCGAGAGAGCAAGTGGAGAGTCTGGTTATCAGAGTAATTACAATGCTAGAGGACATCGGTTCAGTACTGTCTAAATAAATCACTGTGGATATAATAATATTCTCTAGAGTTCTCTAGAGAATATTATTAAATATTCTCTAGAGTTCAGGAAAGTCTAGTTACTTCGACTTCTAGGGATATCTTGAACCATGCTTATTATGGTTCCGGCGTACGCAGCGCGTAGGGCCCTCTCACGTTGTTTTCGAAGGGATAAAACGGTAGCCCTCAAACGAAAGCTTGAGGCGAGGTGTAAAACAAGAAGCTGACGGTAAGGATGACCAAGAAGGTTGAGGAGGAGCGAGAGGGGAAGGACAGAAGAGGAGGAGGATATAGTATTGTGGGACGGATGGATGGAGACTTCAGGAGGGACTGGAGGATAATGGAAAACAGGTTTTAGCCACGCGACTCCCAGTCTGCGCCTACCTTCAGGCGTACCGTACAACACGGTGGACCGTTGTTCGATGTCGGGGTCCTTTGCCGCCAAAACCGTACGACGCATTTTCCTTGTTGGGACTGTATATGATATATTTTGGGACTTACTAAACAGAATTTGAGGCCTTACATTTTTTTTATCGTCTCTCGAAAATCTTCGTAGTATTTTATTGATGTATTATTTCAACCTTATTCGCAAACGTGCATCGGTTCGAAATTTAACTAATTTTCTGCGTCCCGCCACTTTACCGACAATGACTACACATTTTATTAGAACTACGTGCTCCTTTGGTAAAAATGTTTATTCACCATAGACTTCTCTCGAATTTTCGGCAGTCCTTTCTTCAATCACTTTTTCATGTTTCGAGGAATTATTTTTTTAATCGACTCACGAGCTCTCGTTCCCGGAAATCCAATTAACGATCTCTCCCGTTAATCGTGTGTGAATCGTGAATAAAATATTTCTACGCTAGTCAAATATAATGGTACTTACCGTGAATATTAGTCTGTCTCGAGTAAGGATTACTCCTCTTTCTCGGTGAACGTTCGATCCTGTCGTGATTCTTCTTTTGAAAATTTTCCTTGTCCTCTGACGTAGGATCCACGCCCCATCTCCTGGCAAATTTCGTTCTCTCCATGTCTAGGGCTTCCTGTAGAAGTTCCACGGTATCCTTAGGGTTAGGTGGCCCGAAGAGGCAGCGTGGGACACGACTGGACATCGTTGACGAGAGCACGGTGAAGTGCACCTCACGGCAGATTGACGCGGCAAGCATCTCCAGATAGAAATTATTCTCACTCTTCAAAGTTCTCTATATTGATATGTTTTTCCTGTAAATTCTTCTGGAAACTTCTATTCCGAGCACTGTGATTAGTCCTTAAACTCCTCGCCAATAGATGTGTAATTTATATGAAAAACGATTCGGAGAACTTTGATGTGCTTTATGTATTTCCAAACGAGAAACTATCTTTAGATCAGTGATGATCCTGCTCCCTCCACGGTCCGACTGGTTCTGGTCAGCAAGAGGGAACCCAGTCCCGTTTGGAGCCACGAGGTCTCCCCACCACCTGTACAATACTTTAAATCTGATTGGTGCGCCGAATTGGGTGCGCAGTAAAAAGCGCGCGCTCTCCATCATCCGACCAACGGATTATGCTAAGCGATTTTAATGGGGGAACTCGCACCATGAAATGCCCGCTTCTTTTTCTTTTTTTTCTTTTCTTTTTTATAAGTAGCCGAGACTATAGAGCGATCACGATTTGTATTATTATCGTTTTGGATTTGATTTAAATCCTCACAATGGCGACTCAACATCATTTCATATTCCCGAAGACTTTTCTAAGGATTACCCAACATTTCTCACACATTATTCGTATTCAAAATTCAGCTTCACTTCGGTCCATAATATTTTTATTATAAATTTTATAAAAATAACCAATCATCACTGCCAGTACAATTACATGTAATTTTATGAACGGATGTGAACAATTCGTATGTTAATTTTGCCATTTGCAGTCCAACGCACGATTTTCCTGGGCGAGAGAATCGCATACATATCCGAACTGAAGTCGAGAAAACTATATATATATACATATATTGTACAATTTAATCATAAAAAATATATATATCTCGTTAATCCTATAAATAGATGTACACCTTACTTAACGGGGAGAATATTAAGTGAGTGTATCGCTATGTTGGGGTGCACGGGGGGTAGAAACGACCGTTACGGAATAGTAGGGTTAAGAATATAGTGCCTATAGAGGATGCGGGCACGGACAGGTGTACACCATGACCACACCATGGTTACAGAGCGTAACGCTAATTCGTGATTGCATTATGGGATTTATATCTATGCATGAGCTCTAGTAAAGCAGTGTAAAGGAGAATCGCTGACTCTCGTTTCAGAATCATCAGGAATTCCAGGGAGGCCACCTTAATGACTCATTCCCATAGGATCGCCGATGATTCATCCCATAGCCTTCTATGGAGAAACAAACATTCTTACCGCGAAGAATTCGAGCAGGACAAATACCCGTCGCTATAGTTCATCTGGTTGAATGAATAGAAGAAGAAAAAAGAAATTGACCACTCATCTCTCCGGCATTGAAGAATTTCCAAAAAGTAAAATTCACTTTCACTCGAATCTTCACCAATCTACGAAAACCGTTACACTGATCAATTTATTGGAGCGTCAATTTCCTCTTGCCAATTGGAAGCATCGATATCCGTTAAAACCCAAATAGTTTTAGGAACCCTCAACCAATCGTTTACCCATACTCCCCCATGGCTTCCCGATGCAGAGGAACTTCCGGTCTATACTCTTCAGAGCGGAACCCTTTCATGGGGCCGTGACGTCATCATTGAGGATCCAATCCGCGGGGGTCCCCCAGGATGTAGTTAGCCACGAAGACGATTAGCGCGACGTTCCTCAATTTTCCATGTCTCAACCAGGATAATGACTGTGGCAACTTTGCAGGTGCGGCCAGGACGTGGGGTATGGTACACTTTGATTTCCGTTTTGAAAATAATTATTTTCATCTAAATTAAGCTAATCGTCAGTTACGTGAAATTTGGTAGAAAAAATTATAACGCTAAAATACCAATTACAGGGACTAACGGTTTTATCCTTTTTTTTTCACTGTCGTCACATTTTATAGGGTTTTTGCTAAAAAATATTTTTTTAAATTTGCCACGTTTTTTTTATTTTTCAGTTGGAAATATATGGGAGGGTTTCTATTGGCCCATCGAAATTCGAGGCCGGTGATCGGCAGCTGACGTGGACGAGCATCGAGACGCGGTTTCATCGGCAAGAAAGGCGAGTGCAGTGCGCTGTAGAATGAGGAATGAAAATTGAAACTCTACCCTTTAGGCGCAGAGTTCTCTGTTCGGCGTTCGGTCCGAGCACCTGGCAGCATCTGCCCACACGAACCAACGAACATACCAAAACCCACTAATACCTAACGCCATTGTTCTTTTGCAAATGGACGTTCAGTACGTATAGCTATGGTCAAGAGTCTTCTTTATGGGATAGAGAAAGAAAAAAAAAACAGATATAAGAGAGCTGTATAGATAATATAGATAGAGTCGGTTTCCTTTGATGGGTCATGGGTTACTAGGAACAAGAGATGCTCCTTTGACCGTCAGAATGATCCTCTGGATCTAGCAAATTATTATCCTCTGATTATCTCACCCCTGCATAGAAAACCACAAGAGGAGCAACGTGAAAATAGTGGGTACGAATAATGGCCGGAAAACAAACAGAATCCCTTGTGAAATATGATATCCACGTAGTATACGTACTTGTTTGGTCATCTGCTTGCCACGAGACACCCTCTATATCCTGAAGGACTTTTTCAAGTCTGCCATCCCTTGGTCCTCTTTTACTACAAGACCTCATAAGTGACACCGCGTACAGGGACAATCCTTTCCTACACTCATTCCTGTATAAAAGAACGCCACAATGGCCCTGGGCTCAACGGATTTTTTCCAAATTTTTGGAAACCAACTAGCTTCTTCACAATTTCAAAAGGAAACTGTTCAGAGAGAGAAAGAGAGAAAAAAATAAAAGGGGTTTTCTTCTAGTTCCTACAGCGTCAGCTGCTCTTATGCAGATGTCCTGGGATATTTCCAGATTTCTGGTCACGCCAGGAACCCCTCCTGGATGGAGCACGCGCTCCCCCGGGTCGTGGGAGGAAGCTGAAAAGGTACAGGGGGGTTTGAATGCGCCACTTCCTGTCTAGTCTCGTTAGAAACAGGAGCGTAGAAAAAGCTTGGGGAGCTCATATGTGTTTGGCCTTGTCTAACACCAAGTGGATTCAGAAACCCACAGGATATTCACATAGACTAGACAATAAATATTATCCTTACTCCCTTTCCTTAGTAGCTTTGTAGGTTATGTACGCCGGCCGTTAGACACAGTGAAAATTTAATAACGAGTCGCAAACTCGTGGGTTAAAATGCACAGTTGGCTGGGAACTTCCGAGTAATTGAGACTGACTCTTATATATTATATACATGATATAATGTACTGCCATAAAAAAATGTCTGAGTCCCACAGGGATTACTGGGATGTTGAATTGCAGTTTAACACCGGATGCTGGTTCTCTCTCTTGGCCAACCGTTAATTAAAACTTCGAATGATTCGTCGATCAGCCGATTTGATTTTTGGTTTTTGTATATCTGCAGGAAGTTCGACCGTGAATGATGTTTTAGCTTTATTTGTAAACCTTGGAATAATCTCCTGAGGGAATAACAGCTGCCGTCGGGAATCTTCTTCTCAAGTTCCTTTAGCATCCTGTCTCATTTCGCTAACATCCAGGCCAGTATCTGCCGGTTACTCGTATCCTCTATCGCCGTCGACGATCATCAGGTTCGGCCTCCAGAAGGCAGCTGGATCGAGAAACACTCAGTCACGCCTTCCTCTTGTTTTCTCTCTCCACTTCTGGGGGGTTGCGGTTCTGCTCTCCAGGGTGTGAGATCTCTCGATCGCTGGGTTGTGGATCCTTTTAGGATCGCCAGATGCGATAATGTAATTAAACAGTAATAGTTCTTTGTCTGATGAACTTTGATCCGAGTAGCGAGTATGAAATTTTTACTTATTCTTTGGGAACTTCTGTACTCCGGATTACGTGGGATGATCATACTCCATTGAATCTTGGATGAAATTCCTTAATGTATTTCCTTGTTTGTCGGTTCATCAGCAAGGGGAATCTTCTGGATCCAATTTTTGGACCCTCAGGCCACTGTCCGTTTCATCGGTGGATCGTAGAAGTCTGCCAGTTTTCTTGGCGGGTGCTCGAGGCTGTAACGGCCGTAGGTCGAAAGTGGCAGGTGCAACTCGCCAGACTTCATTAAACACAATCCCATCTGCGTCGCTGTATTTTCAAGACGGCAGAACGGTCGGCATTCCAAAGAAGATGTGGAGGAGAAGATGCGTGAATGATCTTCAGGATGTGAAATTCACTGAAAAAATTAAAGATCTGCTTCTAAACTTCGAGTAAAGTGGACCTGGACCTACAACCTGGACCACACGAAGGATCCATCAGATCGATTAGATGGATTTCCCTACAGGACTTCTGGTACGGTTTCTCGTCCGAGCTCCCTCGGGACGTAGGACTCGCGTGGGTTGAAAATAGAAAAAAAATGAAATAGGAAACTCGAGGAAGTCGTAGGGGTAGCCTGGAATACCAAGAAGAGAAAACAAAGGAGTGGCCATCTCGAGCCAAATACAAATGGATTCTGAGTATTCGAGAAAGGACGCGCGTGCCAGGTCCAGCAGACCCTTTGGTAGCGCGTGCCGTTCTTGCGTCTCTTAAAATTGTTAAGAGGAGCCTGACTGGACCCATCGTAAAAATTCAGCAGTTTATTAGCATCTACAAAAAGTTATTCAATACCGTCTAATAGATCCTATCGATTTCTCATGTCTAGTTGGAAATTCGCAAGAAATTCGAAGAAACTGTATAAGCGATATTGTATGGATTTTCTGAAGGATACAATGGAGGAGAAGTTTCGTCCTTGAGCAGTATAAGAATTTTTTATTCCTATTTTTCTACGAGGATTATACCAGGGATACCACCCGTAAGTGATCTCGTAAAAGTTTAAGGAAAGACCTGCGCAACCCTCATTCCGCTCGTAAGCAGTTTAACAATAGACATAAAATACACTTGCCACCCTGGCGAGAAACTAGGGTCCCTAGACTAAAATTGTCCTGCCCACTTTCCCATGAAGTTCGCCTGTTCACAGTACACAAGGTAGACACCTTATGCCAAGGGAGTTGGCATTGTATACCGTATAGTAAGAAAACCCGAATCCACGTATAACATAATAGAATACTATACCGGAGACCTTTAAACTTTAAAGGGACCATACTATGTCTATGTCGGATAAACTCGAACAGCTGACGCGGCTTGAAGGAGAAGCCAGGTAATATTCCTTGGTAGAAGGCATACCTTAGAAAGGCCACGTAAATCCTAAGGAAAAGAAGAAAATCAAGAAATTGGGGGAAGGTAAGAAAACGCGGGAAAGGAAAAAGCGCGGGAAAACGTATATACGTTCTACTAAATTTGAATTTTACAAGTATAAAAACAATTTCTTTTTGACATTTTTTTTCTATTCCCTTCAACTATTGTTTTATACTAATCAACACGATTTTATGATTCTTCCACGGGACAGTGACGTAGTGACAGCGCACTTAGGCATACGTTCTAATGAAGCACGCAACGCCAATCGGAAGTAAGCACGCACGTAAAACACGTGCTTCCTGTGTTTATAGTGTACATACACTGTGTGGCATATGGGACTGAGGATGGGTTACAGAATTAATGAACAATTGTTTACAGCACAAGTACCGTGATATATACCTAACAGTATCAGCTCATATGACAGATAAGGTAAAGCAAAGAAAAATAATATAGCTAATAATTTTTTAAACAAATTTTTCGAATAACCAAAAAATATTTTTTTTTGAAAATATTCAAGAATATATTCAATATCATTCATTTGAAATATTCATTAAATTCTTTTCTTCCTTATCAATACAGTTAACGTCAGCCTGACACGTATCCACAGAATGTGAAACTAATCCCAAAAATACTCGTGGGAACCGTTGCAATCATCCGATAAGATAATTGCAAAATAGATTTTTTTTTCAAGTGCGGAATCGATGACGCGTGAACTATGACCCAGGAAATAGCAATACGTATCGTGAGAAAATCCTGGTTAAACGGTCCCATTTGATGGGTTCAATAATTTTTATGGGGCAATATATATATGTATATACACACTGTAAATATAGTCATAATTAGTATACACTCATAAACCGTATGTCCCTTGTTCAATCTAATTACACGTATCTATCCAAATTGAATAATATATAGGATTGATAAAATAAAAATAATAAAAAAGGACCATATCACGTATATCAGTCCCGGAAGCAAGCATCTGTTATCCGATATGTGATATCCAGGTGCTAAACTGAGGGTGGATCCTTTACATTTTAAATTCCATAAGGGTGAACCAGGAAGAGTTCACTATCATATGGTCTAATTAATTGTCCTATAATAAAATGATATAAATAACAAAAGAAATATTGTACAACACGCGGCCATTTTTTTTATACATAACCCTTTGGTATCCACCCTATTTACGTTTACCCCAATGCCTGCCTGCAAACCCTTCCTCGTGTAAGAATTCCATATTCCACAGTAAGAGCTAGTCCGTCTGTGCGCATGCGCGATGCTCGTACATGAAATTCACACGATAGGTACAGATGACGCGATAAATGTCAGAGTTTAGCGAATAATCGTTGGGCGTATCCGTGACGAGAAGTAGACTTTAGGGTCCCTATGGTAAAATGCTTCGATCGTGGTGAATGCAATTAAAGAATATTTTCCCAGCGCCATGTGTTTGGATACTGAGAGCAGTAGTTTTAATATCCAGGGGAATGGATACTTTAAGCTAGGCTAGAGATAATTTATTAGTAACAGGATATAGAGTTACCCTGGACTTATAATGTGGTTCATAATTTAATAAAAATTTTACGATATAAATAATGACTATTCTACACGTATGGCAAATTCACAGGACGATTAACCTCTTTTTGAATAAATAGTACAATACTGTCATGTATGCGTCTTATGGCTTGTGAGAATGATAGGGCTGGTGAGCAACGTCTCGGGTATATGTATGTTATATGGTAGTCGCTTATCATGCTCGTAGCCCTAATCGAATATTTACAATAGTTATGTTACGACCGACGCAAATCTCAGTGAGCTATTTTTTCACAGCAATAAACACTTTTCCTATTCTGTTGATTTTTTTTTGGTTAAAAACAATTTCGAGCGCTGCCTAATATCAGTGTCCATGAATTATTTACAAATGTAATTAAAAAAAAAAAAAGATATTTTTAGGAAATAATTTCTTCTCTTATGGCAATTCAGAACGCAAGTCTGTTTCTCTTCTGCAAAACCAGACGAAGAAGGATATAATTCCAATTGCTACTATAACACCGATTACCCCAGCGACTACAGCAATGACGTTGAATGACGCTTCGACTATGCAATTTTTCTCTGAAAGAAAGAAATTAAATTGTTTGGGATGAAGAAGATTTTTTTTTTAATTGGCAGGATGGTGGAATAAATGTGGTTAAAAGCAGTTTACCTGATCTCATTGAGTAATCCGAATTCATATTGAAGGCAATGAAGGATACGCTGCTAATGGTTAGTGTGATATTGTTGAGGGTCACCTGAGTCGGGACGCTGCATACGTAAATTCCAGTGTTTAAGGGCGCCGAGAATAGATTCAAGCCTGTGGTACTGTTCGATTGTAATGAGGCTTCTAGAAGAGTAATGGAAATTTTAGAATATGTAGGCTTTTTTTTATGGAATTAGGACTTGGTATGTTTTTAAACAGCCTGTACCTGCCGCATCTTCGAAATTTGTATCATCTAGGTAAAGACTGCTTCGAATACTATCCACGGCGAATTGAGAGGCATCGCTGGTGAATGTAAATGTAAGAGTGTTGGTTGACGTAGCTTCTGTATAAAACCATGACAGAGTCATGTAGGAATCTTCAGTGTCGCAACTTCCGGTTGGTACTGCAGTTGACGGTACCTCCAGATTGGTGGAAGATGCCTTTGGAAAGATAATGTTCATAAAATTAATTTATGATTATAGCAGCAATAAAATTGTTCCTTTGGGCATGAATTAATAGAATAGACTCGTTAAAGTACAATGAAGTGGAAGAGATCGTCGTACCGTTCCGTCCGTTTTCGTGTAGGGGACTGATATCGTGATTGACATGGTAGCCAGAGTACAGGCCACTCCAGTGGTTGAATCATGAATTGACCATGTGTAATCCGGTGTGGCTTGCGTCGTCCGTGAATCCTCAGTAGTTGTTTCTGAGTTCTCTTCGGTTACAGAATCGGTCGTGGTTTCAGATGCAGAATCGGTCGTGGATTCTGCTGCAGAATCAGTTGTGGATTCTGTTGCAGAGTCGGTCGTAGGTTCCGTTACAGAAACAGTCGTGGTTTCCGTTACAGAATCGGTTGTGGTTTCGGTTACAGAATCTGTCGTGGTTTCCGTTGTAGAATCGGTCGTTGTTTCAGATGCAGAATCGGTCGTGGATTCTGCTGCAGAATCAGTTGTGGATTCTGTTGCAGAGTCGGTCGTAGTTTCCGTTACAGAATCGGTTGTGGTTTCGGTTACAGAATCTGTCGTGGTTTCCGTTGTAGAATCGGTCGTTGTTTCAGATGCAGAATCGGTCGTGGTTTTAGATGCAGAATCGGTTGTGGATTCTGTTGCAGAGTCGGTCGTAGTTTCCGTTACAGAAACAGTCGTGGTTTCTGTTGCAGAATCGGTTGTGGTTTCGGTTACAGAATCTGTCGTGGTTTCCGTTGTAGAATCGGTCGTGGTTTCTGTTGCAGAATCAGTTGTGGATTCTGCTGCAGAATCGGTCGTAGTTTCCGTTACAGAATCGGTCGTGGTTTCTGTTGCAGAATCGGTCGTGGATTCTGTTGCAGGATCAGTTGTGGATTCTGTTGCAGAATCGGTCGTGGTTTCTGTTGCAGAATCGGTCGTAGTTTCCGTTACAGAATCGGTCGTGGTTTCTGTTGCAGAATCGGTCGTGGATTCTGTTGCAGGATCAGTTGTGGATTCTGTTGCAGAATCGGTCGTGGTTTCTGTTGCAGAATCGGTCGTGGATTCTGTTGCAGGATCAGTTGTGGATTCTGTTGCAGAATCGGTCGTAGACTCAGTCGTAGTTTCCGTTACAGAATCGGTCGTGGTTGCCGTTGCAGAATCGGTTGTGGTTTCCGTTATAGAATTTGTCGTGGTTTCTGTTGCAGACTCAGTCGTAGTTTCCGTTACAGAATCGGTCGTGGTTGCCGTTGCAGAATCGGTTGTGGTTTCCGTTATAGAATTTGTCGTGGTTTCTGTTGCAGACTCAGTCGTAGTTTCCGTTACAGAATCGGTCGTGGTTTCTGTTGCTGAATCGGTCGTGGATTCTGTTGCAGGATCAGTTGTGGATTCTGTTGCAGAATCGGTCGTAGTTTCCGTTACAGAAACAGTCGTGGTTTCCGTTACAGAATCTGTCGTGGTTTCCATTACAGAATCGGTTGTAGTTTCAGATGCAGAATCGGTCGTAGATTCTGTTGCAGAATCAGTTGTGGTTTCTGTTGCTGAGTCAGTTGTAGATTCTGTCGCAGACTCAGTCGTAGTTTCCGTTACAGAATCGGTCGTGGTTGCCGTTGCAGAATCGGTTGTGGTTTCCGTTATAGAATTTGTCGTGGTTTCTGTTGCAGACTCAGTCGTAGTTTCCGTTACAGAATCGGTCGTGGTTTCCATCACAGAATCGGTCGTGGTTGCCATTACAGAATCGGTTGTGGTTTCCGTTAGAGAATCAGTCATAGTTTCTGTTATAAAATCTGTCGTGGATTCCGTTGTAGAGTCAGTCGGGGTTTCTGTAATAGAGTCTGTGGTGGATTCTGTTGCAGAATCTGTCGTGCTTTCCGCTGCCGAATCTGTTGTGGATTCTATTCCAGAATCCGTCGTCGATTCTGTTGGAGAATCTGTCGTAGATTCAGATGTAGCATTGGTAATAATATTTATGGTAGAATTAGTTGTGAATTCAGATGTAGATTCGGTAATAGAGTCTGTTGCATTTTCTGTGGTGGATATTGAACTCTCATCCGTAACCAATTCCGTAGCTGTATCAGTGCCATCATAGTTGACATCGTCAACTCGATCGAGTATCCGAAAGTCCACAACAGGAATATTCTCTGAATATTCAACGGCAAGGGTCGTCGCTAAAATGAAAATGACACCTCATATTTATTATGCTTACCTAAGTTTTATCTTTTGCCCATATATCATTCAATGGATTCAACATAATTATTACATCGCTCTACGCAACTCGGACCAGTTTCGAAAGCTACCAGTTTCAAATTCACCTACTTCAAAAAATATTCATTTAAAGGTTTCCGATAGCAAAACAATGGACGATAACTTTTAAATGGATCTATATACGAGCTGCAGTGACGTCCCCTGCTTGGATACTCTTTCTCAATACGATTGCAATCATAGAATCTTATCTACAGAGACCCTCTATTCTTATCAGTAAATATCAGTGAGTGTGAACTTGGATCCCGAAAACTTCCGTGTTATCAAGAATTTTCTCTATTTATTTTCGAATTAGCAAGAATTTTATTTTCCTATACAATAAGTCAATAATTTGTCTTTTCTTTCATTAATAAACACGGATAATAATAACGGGTCACTAGGGCGCGTCAATAATTTGAATACACAGTAGGAGATACATTGACGATACCTGTATGACAAAGAATAAATACTATGCAACCTTATTGATTATACTCTATATTTTTTTATTGTATAAACAAGATAAGTCTGAGTATTTTTTTCGAAAATATGTCGATTGTCTTCGTAATAACAGACTGATTTCCATCAATTTCAAACTTTATTAAGAGTTTTTGGCCCTATGAAATTGATAAGGTTTTTGTTTTCACCATAGATATGAAAACGCTTAATTTACTGCAGCGATTGATAATTATTAGCGTGTGGATCAGAAATTACTATATCATTTACGTCAAAGATAGACAAGATTTTATATCACTATACGCATGATCCTATTTGAAATAAAAAAATATATTTTATTTAACGTATAAACCACATAGACATTTTATAAAAGTAACACGAGTTACTTAGGCTTATTTTCCTGGGATTTATATTTCGTGATATTCATTAAGAATCATTAGTCCAAGTTAACCTTATTTTTACAAGTCAATATCCTGAATACGATGTAACAACCAATACCGAACCAATACCACTACCTTATGAGAATGAACCAAAATTTCTATACATTGCTACTCGTTGCTACGAAAAAAACCGAATGAAAAGGCAGTGAAAAGTATTCAATAATTTCAATGCGACTACTGGGCGTCTCTTCGTAAAATTCGTTTTTTAAATACCACAAATTTTTAAAAACTCACCCGCAATTGCCAAAGTTGTTAAAAAACGAAGTAAACACGCACGATTCATCTTTCTGTATTTTCACAGTCAAAAATTTTAATTTTTTCTAACAGAAATTCATAATTTTTCACCAATCGAACTTAATCCGATTATCTGTTGTATTAACGGATTCAAAAAAACCGCAGATCTCAACGTTAAGGACAAGTAGGAATGGAATTCTTTTGAAAATTTCTCAAAAACTCTGCCCGAAAATTGTGAAAAAACCAAAAGGAAACACTGTAACGCACTAAACGCTAGTTGGTGAAAAACTGAAAATTCGCTGCTCTTGCTGTTAGTGGTTATTACAGTGAAAACCAGGTGAATCCCCACCATTTTTACCAGTGCTACTCTTATACTCCTCTAAGGCTTATCTTTATTCGTTTCCAGACTTCAAGATAGGATATCTGCATGATTCTTGTTTGCTGGCCAATCGGCATACATCCAGTGAACGGTAACTATTTTGTGTATACCTACCTACCCAAATGCTCCTGCACTTAGGCATTCTCGGTGAAACATACCTAAACGCTTTTACCCCATTGTAAACGACAAGACAGAACCATTGTAACAAAAGTTTGGGATATCTAAAATTAATATCCGTTCATCCTGGGTCAGTAGGACCCAACTCTAATACCAATCCCCATATCTCACTCATACAATACAACAACCGCGCGTACTCGAAAACTGGCGCAAAGACCAAGATAAGCAGATAAGATTTTTATATTTATCATCGTTTGACATCGTCCGAGGATTTCATGCAGATCCGAGGAATTTTTTAATTTACCTAAAAGTCAACATCCTTTGTCTACTGTACACTGTAACGAACAAGTTTCACGTCGTTACATTAATTTTCGAAATTTTTAAATAGAATTTTCAACACATTTTCATTGATCATCGTGTCATAATCATTCCTCAGTATAATTCATTAAGGAGACGAATGAACTGGGCATCTTATAGGGATATGGTATCACGGGAGTCTGAATGTCGCCGAAATCTACAAATCGACTTTACCGACCGAAAAGTATACGAGTATATATATACATACACACTACGTATCATGAGTATATATATATACACTCTGCATATCAAAATGGCATGTAAAAAAGTACACGAAAATTTCTAGTCTATTTATATTCAACTAAAACGTACATCGGAGAAAGTATGATCGGTTATCTATAATTGATAATCGTTTGACATCTTATCGGATGGATATCGCCATCTGTGCACTGTCCATAGTATTTTTAAGTGTGCGTATACGCAACCCGCGCTTTTATTAAAATATTTGCCAGTGTTACAAGCATCCCCATATTTGTCTTGTAATTACGATAGTGTCAGATTCTTTTTAACGGAGTTACCTGTCTGTTACTAGGAATTGTCGGAGATAACTAAATATTGGATACCGATGTCAATGTCACTCTCGTATGTATACCGAGATACTTTTATTAATGACTGTACATACATGTACTATACGACGCGTTTGTTAAAGTACTGAGAAAGATATGCATAGATAATTTTATACACAGTGTATGATTGATGGCAATTAACTTTTTCTTTAACGTCGATAAAAATGCATGAATATACAATGAGAAAAATTGTTAGGTTAATTTGAAAAAAAAGTTCAAAAAATTACTCTTACTTTGACTTTATTTAATTATATTTGATGTATCGACTATAATGTAGATCGTTAAGTATACATCGAATAGGGATATATACGTTATATGAGTTTCTTTGTCCATTTTCGAATACCACCGAAAGCCATGGGGTTACCCCATGTGAAGGGGACGGGGCCAATTTCAAACCGAAAATAGCAAATTAGTATCCAGAAATCCCGATTTGGACAATAATGACTCGATGTAATTGTACCCCTGATTTCCGTCTGTGGGTTACGTAATAAGAGGCTCAATTAGCCGCGTGCATACAGTCCTACCACATTTTCGAAAGTACAGTTTTCATTAAACGTATACCCCTTTGATTCGCGGGGGACTTTCATGAAAACGACTCGCGCAAGGGGATGGTTTGCGGTCGACCTAACCTCCAATTCTACCCACAATTCCTGCGAAGGCGGTTAAAATGGTACACGCACGCGTTTCTCGTTATACAATTTGCTTGAACGTGCATTTTTGTCCCCTTTTGATTCTTTTTTTTTTCCCTTCTACCGGGTTGGTGCTCATTGTTATCGATACTGGCAGCTGGCCAATTCGTGCCTTTTATATCGAGACAGAATTATATCCAGGAGGAGATTGACTTTTTCTGATTCGTATATATATACCGGATATTGAAATAATTTTTTGTAAAAATACAAAATATTTCGTTTATTTAAAGTGGAAACATTTTTCAGGTAATACCGGAGATACCATATTGTATATCTTCGGATTTTATGCTTCCGTTAGTAAAACGTCACGGCTTCCGTTAGGAATACGATTTTTAAGAGTTTTCAGGCTTTTCAAGGTAATTTTCGAAGATAAGACAGACAAATGGGGTCTTACTCTCGCTACAACTTTACTTACCCTAATCCTCCCTTAAATAGGGAATATTGCAGTCACCCATAATCAAAGGGACTGATCGGCTTTTCCTTTGGTTGGGTACCCCTAAATCAATGATAAAAATAAAAAATTTACTGGTATTTTTTTTAACTTCTAAATCTGTACTTCCCCCTGTTGCCTCATTATTATACGGAATGATTGCAAAACTATATCTGTGTATCTCCAGAGCAAATATGTTTATCAGACGTTAATGCATCGGTGACTCAGGTAAAATGAAAAATAATTCGAAACGAGCGTTTATGAAACAAAGCCTTTTCTGATAATCCAATTATTCCACAATAAGTAGCAAAAAGAAGTATTGCAGTACTTTTAATCGGTGACTATATCAATGTTAATAATAATAATACCCACAGTCACAATCTACATAAGTCCAAGGAATGTGTATTTACTTGCTTATCGAGCAAATTTCGATATACATATACGTTAAATATAAATGAATTTCCCGATAAGACAATCAAATTGATCAATAGAAGCTCTGAGCGTGAATCATAACCAAGATATGGCTATTGATATAAGCAAGAAATTGAAAATGAAAAAATTATATAAAAAAAATTATAAACAAAAAATATTAGTATAACGTGACTAATCGTCAGGCTATTTAAGTATCAATTAATTAATTAATCACTGTGTATACCGAAAAGCTATATTTAATCCAAATTTGCATTACGAAAAAAGTGTTTATTTATGCTGACGTAAGTACCAAAAATGCTTGGAATCATATTCTGATGTTGTTTGAATAATTTTAATTATCTGCCATTCGACTTTTTTTATCTAATCGACATTCTACGTCATATCTTTTCCTAGGCGCTGACGGCCTTGTGTCCCTCTTTCTTTTTTACCTATTTTGTCTTCTTCTATTTCCATAAAGCAGACCTGAACAGTCTATACGGTCAGTGACGCACGTGAGGCCATTTGGTACTAACCAGGGTTAGACGGATGAATTGTCCGTCGTTAAATAGAGATGCGCTCTAAGGATGAATTGATGCTGCGTAGACCAGCAGGGAATGGATGCGTAGTTAACTGGGAAAAATAGGGTAAAATGGCACAGCTGGTTCTGCCACTACTATTGTACTCACAGACGCGTTTCCCCCGTTTATCTCAAAATTGTCAGATTTTACATTTTCAACCTTATTACGTCGCAGGGGTTCCAGGAGAACTGCTAATGGCGTCCCTTTTGTGAATTTGACGACAATCGTGATATTGCTCAGCGAGCAGCTTTACAACCTGGAAATGAGTCAACAGTGTGAGCAGAGTGTTAGGAAGTTTGTTTGAAAAAGATGAGGAATTAAATTCTATGATCTGATCCTGAGAATAATAAAAAGATATTCCACAACAATCATACAAACTAAAATCGTGCTTTACCTTATGTCTGCTTCCTTCGTTCAATTCCTTTAACACTAGATTGTCCAAGGAAGTCATTTTGACTGCTTTTTAATTTCAATTAGAAAAACAATTATGTATATAATGACACAATTTCTTAGAACTTCGTGACTTTTTGTACAACATATAAATGCGTTTATTAATAATTGTAGTTACCTCCGCCCTCCTTCATTTCCGGTATATATATATGTGTTATACCTATATTGCCCAAAAGCAGTCATTTTGAATGCTTGGGAAATGTTAAATAATCAAAGGACTCTTATTATTGAATTGAGTAAATTTCTTATATGACCAGTTCGGCTCTGTATTGAAATAATAGTTTTCATTTTTTTTTCGATTATCGTCACATGATAGCATACAAGTACATGATAAATTGTCGATTTGGGCGTATACTTGATAAGTTGCAGTTGCTCAATAAGCTAAAGTAGTACTTGTTATTCGAATCTTTATGCAGTGATACTTGTTCTATCAAGTTGTTTATTTTATTTCTTTTGCGCCCTAAATTCATGAAAGAAATGTCGAATATAACTGTAAATAATATAAAAAATATTAATAATTAATTTAAAAAAATTTTTTATACACATTAGTCATTCTTTCACAATGCAGTCATTCTGACTGCTTTGGGCAATATAGGTATATACTAAGTTTCGGTCTTTCTAGTGTTAAGTCCATTTCAACGGTTTCTACATACTTGTCGAAGAAGAACAATCAAGAAACAACATGCATTCTTACATCTGTTTCAGCTCCATTATCCAAGGATCGAACAATTTTATTCATAGATCCGAAAGAGTGAACAGTAAATAAATAACAGTAAAGCAATGACAATCAACCCTTCTACCCACAGTTACAATCAGGACCAGTTCCTCGCACCCTCCAAAAGATCTTGATCTGACTAGGATCAATTTTGTTCGATCACCCATCTGTCGAGTTACTCTACAAGCTGTTCTGTGAAGAACGTACAACAATCCCTTCACTATTTTCACGCATGGGCGGTTGACAAGAAGAGGGTTGAAGCAGCCTAAAGGCTCATTCACAGTATCAGAAAACGCTCTAAGAGCTTTATAATGATTTCACTATCGCACGTGCCATCACCGTCGTACTTTTCAGCCTCATTGATGTGAATTCATCCAGGAAACAAATATTCAATTGATGCACTGTATAAATACAATTAATCTGTAGATATATGACGTCACTGAACCTGGTTGATATCTGCACTCAAATTCTTAGGTATAAATAAAATCAAATAATCGTACAATTTTTTATCAATATTCATATCAATCTATGTATATACCATTGATATCCTACTAAGATTTTTGTATCGTTTTGTCGTTTCCTTTATAGAGAAATTCTGTTAATCATCCTCACTCTTAAGGCCGTGTACGCACTTGAGCGACTGAGTAATACCAGAAAGGACACGGGTGCACTTTTCTGTCGCTGAGAGACTTATCGAGTTTCCTCGTGTCATCTGCTCCTCGTACATTGCGACACGTATACCACGATAAATTCGATCCATCTGTATCGTATTTCCACGATACATTTGCCTTCGGTGAGGTTCGGATGCTATCGTTATTTTCTGAAGAGTTCCCGATCACAACTGAAAATAATAAGATACTTGAATTATTGAGAAAAAAAATGAAAAATCCTTCAACAGTCCCCTGTGACACCGAATACGACCGCAGAGTGAGTAATTGGACAAAAGGCAATATGAATTATACAGAAACAAAATGTGATTCCCATGATTATACAAGTCGGAAGTGACTTAATTACCAATAACGCTATGGGATTTTTTTAAAAATCACCAGTCAACCAATTCTAGCAGGGTCAATGGGAACTGCTATAGTTATACTCACTACGCACTTGTGGTCTCATAATGGTTCCCATACTTTCTAGTTATAAATAATACATGAGTCTAATGTCCACGCATGAGCTGGAAGCTTATTGCTGTTTTTCGCACGGATTTTGTTCCTGATGCATTCACGTTGCAGTCAGCAACCGAACTTTTCAATGCTGGGCCAAGCAAGTAGGGTAACACTGGTCCAGCTTGGTCCTATATGTATCATCCTCATTGTAGTTCGGCGAAGACACTCTGTTTCCTGTGAAAATAAGAAAATTAAAAAAAAGACTAGGGACTTTGATTTCTGGCTATTTATAAGTATATCGTTAAGTATGACTTCCTGCGGAATCGCACGACTATAACCGAAGGACATGCACGTGCGCCCGTAGGGCGCTTATTACCTCAAAGGAAAGTGAATGTTTTAAGAACGTTTATGAATGAAACCAAGGAGCGTGTAATCACGATGATACGGCCATGCAGAAGAGCGGTTTGTGGCAGTGCTGTAACCATAGCGCGTAACAAGGGGTGAACACCAGATGCAAATCGTGTACAGCCCTTTTTTCCTTCAAGGGAAGAAGAAAAAATCTAGGGGATCCTAATCACTCGAGAATAATAAGGTATAGGCTCTACGCTCACAATTATTCGGACGTTAACTTCTGAACTGTCTGCCGTTAAAGTATTATCGGTTGTCGGGAGACTAAATATTCATAAGACTATTATGTTGCGAAAGTGACTGATGTACTGATGCACCTGCGACAGTCCGAGTCTTCTTTTTATACCGTAAGAGCGAGGACGCTGGTTCTTCGTGTCAAATGAAATTACCGGATGAATATTTTATGTTGCGCGGAGGAACTCTGTTGTAACGATTTTTTAAATTAAACGGTCCAACTTCTTTTTTAACAGGAAGGAAGCTCACGTGGATTCGGTAGAATCCTTCCTAGGCACTTCCGTCCTGGTTACTCGTATCCGGATTAAGACGATAGTTATGCATCTAATCGATTGGCACGTGGTGGACATTTTGTGGGCTTCCGGGAGATCGGTTTTCAATGATGTACCGTGAATTTGTGTGTCTGAGGATTAAAGAGAATTTTGAGGGATTAGTTATGGGAAACGAACGTTTTATAGAAAGTATTAATATCATAAAATACATTTGAAACTTAATGGGAGTATACAACATTTTTACTTTACCTCCCCTAAGACTGTCTTCGCTCTCCGTAACGGTGGCCTATTAGTTCCATGCTGGGGGCACCCACCAACCATATGGCGGACTCTTGTACGTACGAATATTATCCCCTCGGCAAAAAGCTATCGAATTTTCGAAATTTAAACTTCCTATGGCGCGTAGCGTGGCGTTTGTACGGTTTCGTTGGAAACGATAATTGGTCTCTGATGCGTTCACGAGCTTTGGCCTTATGGCAAGAAAAGCGTCATATGCTCGATAAAAAGGAAAAGTAAAAATTATACGGTCGCAAGAACCAATAGAATTTACGAAATTGATTTATGTAGTCTCACTAATCCCTAAGGCGAATGGGGAATCAGGAATTATGCTCCGGAAAAGGCACAATTGTATTTTTCATTTCTAGGTTGCTTCCTAAGGCTCTTCTTCGAGGTACGATATGACAGACGCCATGCTGGAGCTGAGTATAATCTTCTATCGTATTATTTAGTTCTTAGAATTATTACTAAAAAAACTGAAGTTTAGATAATGTCAATCACAAGTACTTCACACTCGAGTGATCTGTAGCTAAGCTTGCACTCGTTTATTATCAGATAAGTTGGTGGATTTCGAAATCTCAAGACTCGGAAACAACTTGATAACAGGTATTGCGAATTTTCATGTTTCACGATAAACGCGGAAATATTTTAAATCTTTTCATAGCGCAAACACGCACCTGCATTTTACGATCGCCAAACGGAAGCTCCACGTGCGCCGTACGTGCCTCACCTGCATTTTTCCACGATTCATTTGGCGTACGGCTTCTTGGGATAATTCGTCCTGGAACATAAATTGGTCGTAGCTCTCTCAACCCCCTCACCTACACCTTCGCCGAACCCTTCGACTAATAAGGAGCTACTTGCCAAACGTCAATTAAAGCGCTGCAAGCGGCAACCTTCAATGGTTCTGTTACTCATGCCCCAAGGAAGTTTGAACGAATGTAGAGTATTGGTATAGTCTTTTTTTTGTATGCCCTGCAATTTTTATGTTGCCACCTAGCGGTAGAATACTAAAATACACAGCCGAGGTTCGCTCGTTCAGTAAACGCAGAACTCTCGCTTTTCTACGGAAAGTAGTACCACTAAAGATAAAGAAGAAATTTACATTTTCTAATGATTTGAAATTTGACCCCTAACCAATAAAATATAATCATTGGCTCGTCAAAGGATTATACTATACACTTAAGTTGAGAGAAAAAATTAACTGCAACTAACTTCTTAATTATCATTAATCAATAGTACAAACGGTTGAACGTCAGATGGCGACACTATTAATTGGTTCTTCTGGATGATTATACCTTATTTCTACGTATCGTCGCTTTAAAAAATTTTCAATCGGCTTCACTGAATCCGCTATACCCACCAGGATCATCTGCACGACGGGTTGCCAAACAATAGGCGCAATCAAGCATTAATTCGTATTTGAGTTTTTCCAATAATCCATCTTCACAACGTATATCCTATGATAGAAATTGTATGACAGTTCATCATTGTATTTGAAACGTACGTGACAACAGTATTTATTAAAATCTCCTTCGATATTCGCTAGTCCCAAAAAGACGTTAGAAAACTTTGAAAATCGTCACATACCATCCGAAGCACTGAATCGAAACGAGAGATTAGGTGCGCACACGTTGATGAACTCCGGTTGTATAATCCGAAACGCATCGCTACCTTCGGCACGATTTTTCATGTCGAAAGCGGCTACGTACCTACAGAGAGAAAGCCAGTCGTAGATCTATCATGAATTTATAAGAAAAGTCCCGAGTCAGATATTACAGACTCACATCAGTACTTGAATATTCATTGAGCTTTTCTATTTAATAGAATCTATAAAAATCATCTCATCCTTTCGTGAGTTACAAAATTTAACGTTGTATTCTCTTCACCTCTTATCGCTGCACCCTCCTGACACTCATATAAAGAAATTTCAGAAATGAAGATGGCCGTTCTAATAAGAGGATTCCCAGAAATAAATAATAACATTAATTATAGTATAGTATATTTAACTACTAGCAGTCGTGTTGCCAGGACATTAAAAACGAACTGTAATTCGTCGTAATAAAAACTAATCAATAAAAGATAATTATATGGTAGTTGATTCCCACGTCGATGAATTTATCATTGGCTTCTATTTACATCCGAATCAATAATCAATATTGACGTGTTCCTCGCATAATGTATTATATACGAAAGCACGTAACTCATTGTAACTAAGAATCCCAAAGCATTGACGTTTACGGACTGCGTCAGTTATTTTGTCTTCCAGTTGTGTCAACCGGCACGTTTTGCGAGTATTTTATACATAAGTGTTACCCGTATTACCTGGGTGTATTATTTTATTGTCAGATTCCTTATCGCGGCGCAGCATTGTAAAAGACGCTCGCGGCTTAAAGCCAAGCACGTAGCACAGAGTTGCGAGCTTAAGATTGCGGTCGGCACACCAAGCTTGGGATCACCGCTTCCGCAACTGCATATCGATGCAGCTGCAATGAAACCGTTGGCCATTTGCAGCCAGCTCGGACATGGTAGTCTTTATTAAAGTTGGTTAGGACTCTGGGGCATCATACTTGCCATAGCAGACCAGTAGAGTTTCATGAGCTTGTCACTTCCTCAGGAATATTCCATTTGTGTCCCACTGGCGACATCTACGAGGACGGACTGTATTCTAGGTTCACTGTCCCTGGCAGATGGTGGGGGAATGTGACGACGTACTCTACACGAGAAAACAAATTGTTATCAATTACGAGAATAATTTGCGTCCCGGTGGATGCACTCGGCGCGAATAATTTCCACGTTCTCCCTGTATGCCGAACAAATAAATAATGGATAGGCCATTCTTACCAGAGTGTCTTCTATGCGCACAATGTCTAAAGACTTCCGGCGAGAAAGACCGGAAGGCCTCTTTGCTGCCGCGGAATGTATGCACGCCGCGAGAAGATTGGCTGCGTTTATTATTATTTATATCCAATTTTCTCGAAGAATTTTAGGGCCGTGCGTGCGGATATATGTTCAATTGGCTTGACCTCTTTTCGAAACGGGGAATGTATCTCTTCTCCGTGGTTTTCGGTGATCAACATTCCTTGCCCTGATTCTTCTGCCGGTATAGAAAATTTCACTAGTCCTTCGGAGTACCGTGTAGCCTAGAAGTACAACAGGAAGAGAATTGGATTAAATAACGACACGATATATAGGTGGGCTAGAGTGGAGAGGAGAACGGTGCAGAAGGACAGGACGGAATTAACGACAGGAGAAATATGGAGAATCTATGGCGATTGACAATATAATCATCGCTATACGTGTCCCACGTGCGGTTCTTCGCGCTCCGCTGTCCTATCCAAATAAAACTCTAGAACAGCGCGTGGCTTTCCGTCGCGTCACGCTTCTTCGCAATTTGCACTTGTGTTCTACGTAGACACATTGTAGTAGAATAAGTATAGGAGCCTCGTGTTCCTCGTAGTGGCGTAGCGTGTACTACGTACAAGTGACATATTCACATGATTGTACGTACCTATAGCTATAGAGACAGAGAAAGAGAACATTGTCAGAGTGAGAGAGTAAGAAATAGAATGAAAGAGAGAGAGAGAGAGAGAGAGAGAGAGAGAGAGAGGGACAGATATAAGCAGAGAGGGGATTACCTCCAAGTCCCGGCGAGATCGAATTTCGAGGATGCCAGGGGTGTAGCTAAAAAAAGCATACCGGGTGGTCAATCATAAAACGACCCTTACAATAAGTTATAAATTTTAAGGTCTCGTATAAATGGCGACGAACCTTTTCCAGTGAAGAGAACGCTTCAGTACTTTCACATTTCCCTTGGCTTCTGAAGGGGTATTACATTGCACGTGTTCGCAGGTACCACCTACCTACTTAGGTAGGTTGGCCAGTAAGTAGGTAAGAGAACTGGATACATGCTTACTTAGGTCAAACTCTAAATTATTAGGAACTTGGTATGGATTAATATTTAGATTGAAAATTTACTCTTTGAACCTCCTTGGACAATTTTTTCAAGGACATGAGGGTCCTCGGATCGATCAAATCACGTTGAGCGTGACGTATTTGGTCAAGGTCACTTCTTGATCGTCATGAACTATCCTATTGAAGTTGGTAGATTTAAGGAGTATTATAACGTATAATTTATAAAAATTAAACTTGTTAGAAAGGTGATTATATTTTTGTGCTATGTATATGATGGAATGATGTAAATCATTCGACAGCTACAATGTACTGCGATATATTTGCTATTTATCGCTACACGATTGTATGGTCGAAAACAAAGTGGCTCCTTATTTCGAATAGGTTAGCGCCGAAATAAATCGACGTAATTTTATCATTTTTGCACGCGGCACCGTCGCTTCTCTGCCGGTGCTGTGGCAGTGCGGTACTTTCCCTGGAAATAACAACATAACGGGCGACCATGATACTAGCGAAATGTCCTCATTTTGACTATTTGGATTTCTAGCAGGAAACAGGATTATTACTTGCTGGGAATATGGATTAGATTATGTTTTAAGACGGAGGTACTTTAAATTAAATATTGTTCAAGGCTTAGTCGAGCTGCAGCTTAATCTTGTACAAAGAGAAAACTGTATAAACTATGCATTGTGCGTATATAAAAATGGCGACTAGATTTTAAAGGTACAGGTCTAAACCTGGTCAATCATTATTCCGTTGTCTTCGTTTACTAATTTGATTTGTACAATTGACCGAGAACGACGAGAACCGCTGCCTTTTAATGGTCGGTAACGTCAGGTATAGGAACGTCATACAGAATTTCGGAGCCCAGTTCACAGGGGTAATATATTTTTATACACTAAAATACTGTTTTATATTTTCTTCGTTTTAGGACGCTATAAAAATTGTTAACCGACTATGCCTTGTGAACACAATTTTGGATACTCTATTCGATTACTCGATGTAATAAAATTGAAGCTGAAGAGATACTACTAAAGTAAGATGCGCAGGCACTTTACAACGTGAATTCGTTTAAACTACCCGGTGTACAAAGGGGTTTTGTAGTGAACTGGGAAATGGCATTCACAGATGACAGAGACAGAGTATCTATGTTGAATAACGCTATTTTTATATCACATATAAAAGTATGTACTCGGTTCTCGTTATCAATACATCCCTGTCCATGGGGATTTGCTGAGAATCGCTTCAAATGTTTTCTGAGGAGAAACACAGTAAAGTGGATCTAAAAGTATATCGATTTCACGTAAGATGTCATCCATGGTAAAAAAAGGAGATAGAAAAGCATTTCTAATACGGGATTGACTAAAGTACAATAAAAAAAATGTAAAAATTGGTATGAGACCGATGAGAATAGTGACGGTAATAGCAGTCGAAGAGCCCCGAAACTATTGGGTTCCAGGGTCGTCAGCAGATGTCGCCTCGGAGCACGGAAAGTGAGCGTAAACAGACGAGCAGAGCCGAGGGCGTCCGAACGTATCCGAGACGCAGTCGAGTTGGAGTGATTCCTCGATGGTGGACGTGCGTGGTGTGGCGAGTCAGCCAGAGCGCAAAGAAATGAAAGCTTGGTGTTGGATGAAATAGCGTGACTCGCCCGGTGGTTAAACTGTGCTCGGTAAAGAAAGGAAAATAGAGGATCTGCTGTTGGTGGGTGAGGTGCACGTATCGGATCGGGTTAAAACGTGGATAAGTGCGAAGGTAGAGCATGAGTGTGGTGCGTGTGCGGGAAGTGATCGGAAAGTGGCGAAAACTGTGATCCAGCGGAAACGAAAAAGGCCGCTAAGGTGGCGGCTTTGCTGGCGACAAAGAAGAAGACGAAGGCGGAAAAGTACAGCGCTGGAACTAAGAGCGCACGTCGTCGACATTCTTCGTACGCCAAAGGTGTCCGTTCTCTCTGCAGGATACGGAACACCGTAAACCACAAGATGGCTGGAACTCGGACTTGCTGAAAGGCCTGACATCGTGCGCTGTTACAACGGGTACGAGGAAAGGCGTAGAGAGTTTGACGGTGCCATCCTGATGCTGTTGGGTGTGCTTTCCTCCGGTTGGTGGAAATATGACGTTATGATATCAGCCCTATACGTCGTCGTCGTCGTCGTCAACGTCGTTGTCTACGTCGTCGTCAAGAGAGAGACTGGCTAAGTAGTAGCCTGAGGTAATTGAGAGTGAGAGAAACACGCAGAGTTTGCGATACATTTTTTTTTTCGGAAGGAAAGAGAGAGTGAGTCGAATAGAGAGGAATACCATTTTATGACCTGTATATCTGGTGATAAAGTTCCACCGGTATTATAACGGAAAACTTCTGATTATTTGCGGGTCGTCCTGCCCATCTAAACCACGACCTTACCATGTCGACCACGACGATGACGACCACGACCACGACCACGACTACGACCACGACCAATCCATCACATGCCTCGACGGTCGCCTACGTGTTCTCATTGCAATAAAGATACTCAGGCAGAACCGGCTTTCTCTAGAAGGGGTAAATTTTTCGGATATCTTTCACGAAACGGAGCTCACATTGTCAATAACTCTTCTACTGGTCTTTCCTGAGCTCGCCTACATAGAGACACACTCTACGCAGCTGCAGAGCCCATGGAAAATGTAAACAAATCAAAAATCAGCTTTCCAAAGCACATTGCGTCAGATCTTTTACTCCTGCTCTTAATATTTTCTTCTATTTTATTATCACTTAACAGTTTTTACCTCAATATGTTTGAAATCAGTCTATTGTTTGATCGATACTTTATTATTGTATTATCATGAACGGTGCATGGCAAGATCACATTTTATCTCTACGCATTATCCAAATTCTGTATAGATTTACATTGGTTCCAGTCTAATTTTCTTTCTTAAAAGTCACAAATATTCTATTATTTTACTATGGCTCTATCTGGAATATAAAGTCTCAATTTTTATGGTAAATTATGAGTAACGGCTTATTACACATACTTGCTCTTAAATATAATACAAAAATTCTTAACTTGACAAGCACACAGTGTACTAGTTCGTTTAGTTGCATAGTGCAGTGCGTAATGTACGTGGAAATTACTTTACACGCCTTTGGAAGCCTTTTTAAATGCGGATTTTTGTCGGTCGTCATTTACACTTCTGGTTTTCCATCTGGCTAATCCACGACGTTGCGAACTGCGATTTCAGCGACTGTTTTACGAGTAGCTAACATGCTTGCTTTGCCTATTTGTTGTCGGCTTACTTGTTTGCTTGGATATTTGCGTGCGTAGAGTGACGCTCATTCCGTACACGCTTTTAAAAAACCAACGTATTCCATTGTGTAAAGATATGCCCGTTTCAGAATAAGCTTATTATAGCATATATTTCCATGTAGCAGTATTATGCTTTGCGTATTTTGCGTGGTTACCCAAGGTTTCTCATGACAAATTTGCCTAATTATTTTTTCATTTACGAACACGTGAAAGTTGAAATTAACTATCTTTTATGAGGACTCATTATACTCTAGTTTGGCCGATACTGTGAAAATATTTTATATTAGCCTGAGACATTAAAAAAAATCAATTGGGAGAAACTTTATTACAGCTTAACTCATGAATTTATATTATCAGTATCAATGGTCGTTTTTTACCAGTAATGGAAATTTCCATCCTCCACGTCAACGACATCTACACACAAAGACGAAATGTACGTACATATATACATGGGTACGCCATTTTTGTGCGTATAACACACCCAACAGAGATCCTCTTTTGATACGCATCTAGCGCTGGCTTTACTCCGATCTGAAAATTCTGAGAAAACTAATTTTATTCCATCCAATTTTTTGATAATGTTATAGAAAAAGTTAGTGGACTACTTATATGCCTTAGGCGAGTAGGCACGCGATTCGCACCACGAAAAGTGTTGAATAATTTAGCAAGACTTTTTTAAATTGCTTTGTAGAGTTCAGAAATGTTGTTTATTTCATAGAAAAGAAACCGTTTACGTTGTCTTACCAACAAGATCTAAGTTGTCTATTTTTCTTTATATTTATTATGGTCAATAAAACAATTTAAAAATGTTGTAGTAACTTCCGGGACTGTCCTTTGACTAGGAAATCTTATAGTAAAAGATATTACAAAGTTATTCCAAATACTTATGTTTTCTCAGTTTTCCTAACCCATTCGGTAATCGAAGCAAATTTCTGCTTGTGCATATTTCCAGACAAACCTTCCTTAAACTACTTAGGATCTCTTCGAGTATAGGGACAGTTCTTACCAGAAAGGCATTTTGTTTACTGCTCCAATGACGAACTACGACGACTCTGCGTGATACCAGGGCCACACGCATACGTTTTTCTGCAATATCCTGTAGGGACCTTCATATACTTCCGTTATCTTTGATACAGGCATTAAAATAATTAAAAGTCACCATATGCTAGATTAAAAAATAATACAATGAAAAACGTCTTTACATAACATTTATCCTTAGACAGTTCATGATTAAATTAATTTTGATTGATTTATTTATATATTATATTTTATAAATATATTTAACTCATTTGGCCGCTATTATGAATAACACATCCTGCTCTTGTTACCAATTCGTTTCAGGACATGATGTTCATGATTGTCATTCAGGTTTGATCTTCGCGCTCTTCTTGAAGCGCGGATAAGAAACAAAATCGAGGCGTACCTTTCATTCCCCACGGCCTCGAGCTGCTTCACCAAGAATGGGGTCACTTTTTTAAAACATTTTTACCCCATTGCCCCCCTTTGCAAAATTCGGTTGACCTCACGGAAAACCATTTCTTTTGATAAACGTAGATATTCGATGGATAGACATAATTAGAAGAGCATATGGCAATGTAGAAGTGACGAGTGAGGATAGGTCAGAGCCATTTTTTTGTATACTGCTAGAAAATGGTTTATCCAACGTTCCTTTAAATCCCGGCCTCGTACAATTTTGTTCGCTAACGGGGCCCAGTTTAAAAATATCGGGAGTGTCGTCGGAACACGTTACCAGGAATACCGCGGTTGGCACGCTTCTCGACAATCTTTTATTTACTGCGGTCGCTGCGAGAGTATAGGCGAGATAAAAGTAAAATAAAATGAAGAAAGCATCTAGGTATTACCTGGACCGATTTGTAGATGGAGTCTTAAAGTAATATAGTTCCTTTCCTCGCCGTCGCATTGGTAACGTTTGCAGCGCCCGAGCGGGAACTTTTTGAATCTCATACCGAGTTACAACGACTTCGATAATTTTTCCGTTACGCAAAGCGGGCGTTCATCCTTGAAACTTTGAAATTTCGTAAAATTTTCATTTAGAATTTACTTTGTCCACAACTCTTCCAATTTATCAGTTTCTTTACTCACGAGATTCATAAGGCATATTTTAAAATTATGTAAACTCAAGTGGAATTTTCCTGTCACTTATCTTCAACGTCCTAACCTAAAAAAGTTTGCATGTCCTTTTCGTTGCTCTCTATATCGCTAGCATGCGCTGGCGATTAATTTATGGGCTGACTCATCGAAAAAGTACTGTACGACTTGACGACGCCAACACGCGTCTATCGAACGTGCCCAATAATATACAGTAAGTGTGCGAGGAAGAAACATCAGGATGATAAAACCTTAAGTATTTTCACCTTCTTTCGTGCGTCCTAACCGAACGAAATGACCCATGAATTTATAGGTTGCTCATTTCTCTTGGAATTTTACAATGCACGTCGTTTTCTATATCGGTATCGGTGATTTCTCACTCGTGCAAGAATTAATATCTCAAAGCGAATATGTCTCCACACAAGATTATCCGTGAGGTGTCCGTTAACTGTAACTGGCAACAACTGTAGTTCGCGCCTGTAATATCAAGACAGCTCCGCTATTTCTGATCAGGCGCTATAATTAGAGCACGTCGTGCATGTGTATACGGATAATCGCAAAGACTTGTACTGAACGCCTTGAGCACATTGCGGGAACGACTCACGCTATTCAGGCAAGATGGCCGGGAAACGTTACCCTGGATACCGTGTAATCTGGACGGCACGAGCTATGGAGTATACGTAGAATGTACACGTTCATAATGAGCGAGTAAAAAATATTCAACGTTGTGATAATCGTGAGTTAATAACTCCACTGTAGATAATAGCTATTGTCACAACGGCTAAAGACTACGCAGGTTCTTAATTGTAAAATTCCTTACAAGGGAAATTACCTTGGGTAACACCTTTGTCTAGAGAGATGAAAGTTGCTTGGATAAATTCAAAGTCTTGATGACCACCGTCTAGCTCATTAATTTTTTTTTTGTATACTTTAAGAATGTGTGGTTAACAACGTTTAACCCTTTAACGACCCAGCCTCATGGTTTGCTCCGGAAGGTCTCGTCTATGGACGTTGTATAATAGAAGTCATTGCGTTATACGGTTTGGAAAAAGCAGTTGGGCCGTAAAGGGTTAAATATCTTTCTGCATGCATGTAACGGTTAATTTGTGTGAATCATGTTATTGAAAGTTTTTAAATTTTTTAGGGAATGTGTGACATGTTCATCCAAACTCAACAAACGAGCAGCGTCAACAGCAGCAGCAGCAACAACACCGCTCACCATCACAACAAGAAGCGCAAGTTGGATTACAACGTCAGTCAGCCAGTTATACAGCACGCACAGGTCCAATCAACCACCGATTATCAATTGGACAATCCTGGTTTACAAAGATACTCTGTGAGCGGTACCAACGCCGCTTTCACGTCGCTTCACAATAATGCGCTGCAGAAGAGTCCGAACCAGCAGACATTGGTTCGCGCGTCTACGATTAAACTCCTAGACACGTACCAACGGTGTGGGCAGAAGGTGTGTTTTGATGAACGATTCGTCAAGAATTGGTGGCGGGATCGATAATAGAATTGACAAAATTTTTTGGAAACAATAATCAGATCTCTCGACGCACGATCAGTTCAGTATTTATGTAATCCGAAATTAAAATCTAAATTCATAGTTCTTTAGAGACAATTAAACATTATGTAAAGGCGATGTCTGTCTATCTACAACCTCAAGATTAAAGCCTGTTATCATACGTATAGCTTAATTTGAGATTGACATTTTTCTGCGTTCGCTTCACAGAATCAAATTGCAAATGGTTCGCTCACGGTTGGTGGCTGTGTCGACGTTAAAAGCTTTTGAGAGGTTAAATCCCAGTCGTGATAACGGTACCGATATAGTAATCACTGTACAGATAAGACAACATATTGACTTTCTTTTTCTGCAACCCTCATCGAGACATGCATGATAGGTGTATGTACCCTGGGCTTTGGCACTTTCGTCATCCCTTCTGGTATTAGCGGGTATTAACTTTGGGATTATGGAAGCAACGATGAAATTCCGAGTAGGTTCAGAGAACGGAACTAGTATGGATCGTTAAGCTTTATCCTGAATAAAGGTTTTGCGAGCGATATGCTCTACTTTATCGATCCCTACTCCGAGTATTGTTTTCATATTTCATGCCAGATGCGCCCAGCGATATCATGGCTTTGAGCAGTTGCGAGAGAAAATAGGCTTTCAAGAAGGTCCCAGATCGATATCGCATGGAAATCTTGTTTAAATCGGGATGGGAAGGTGACGTGATTAATGCGATCAAAGGATTTTAACAATTTTCGTATACTCTTGGGTTAACTCTATCAACGTTCATCTATATTTTGTGTTATCAGAATTTGATTCACTCTCTTTCAAGGGTTGGTAATATCAAAATGGAATTGGAATTTCTTTTCAGAGAAAAACTTGGTCGAGGGAGGGTAATGGTGATGGTTTGGCAGTCCACTCTGCGAATACGACGAGCAACACAGCCGGCAGTACCATAGTCTCCCAACATCACGGCCAGCAACAACAACAGCAACAACAGCTGCAACAGCAACAACAGCAGCACAAACAGACAAGCATGACGTCGCACAGTAAGCAAGTGGCGAACACTGGAAACGGGGGCGGTGGTAGCAACCCCCAAGGTGACGGGGATTATCAGCTAGTACAACACGAGGTTCTCTACTCCATGACCAATCAGTATGAGGTCCTGGAGTTTCTTGGGAGAGGAACATTCGGTCAGGTACAGATTATCCTTTTTATAGCATGAATTACTCTCAGCAGTTCTATCAATGCTGTAATAACTAGTATCAGGAATGCGTCACACTTCAAGGAGAGTAACAGGAGACGGCCTCTGACGTTTTTAAGTCTTTTATGTTCGTGGGTCGCTCTTGTTCCTCGCGGTGGTGCGAACAAGGAATCAGGTCATGGACACATCGACATTTTTCTCTTCGCAGGTTGTCAAGTGTTGGAAAAAGGGAACAAACGAGATCGTGGCCATCAAAATTCTCAAGAATCATCCTTCGTATGCGCGCCAAGGTCAGATTGAGGTGAGCGATGAATATCCATCCGGAAAATTTTAACTATTGGACTAATACACCTTTCATTGGCACTTCTTTCTTTTTATTCTTCCTCCAACGTGCTCTGATGCCACAGGTTACTCAGATTTTACGGTGATTTACGCCGTCTAACAAGTATACCGTTAATTCTGAATATGTGCTAATACAGGTGTGACGTAAGGTACTCTTGCTGGGGAAGTACGTGGGTCGCACCTATAACTCTTATATTAGTATCATTTACGTAACTGTTATATCAGCTACTACACATGTGCATTGGTTTTTTGTTGTCCTTATTAAGAAAAACAAAAAAATTGTCAGTATTATCTATCAGGAATAACAAATTGTAATTCACTTTACTGTTATCTTTTGATCTTTGACACATTCCCAGTTTGATACTTTCATTAAACATTTAGTATCGTAAAATAGACGTTTCTGTTTGGAAATGTAGAAAAAGAAAGATTGCCCAAGATTCAACAGTGATTTCTCTTTCTTAAATATCTTACTTTTTAACGTTACCATTTTATGCCTGAAACTCTGGCAGCTGCAAAGAACATTATTCAGATAACAATGAGATGACTTTCACTTTGGGATTGACCCTATGCGAATTATCTAAGTGATGATGAAATCTCTTTACGACACTTTATGGCCTGGTACTAGCCTGTGATACGGTTTTGATAATTTTCTAAAACAATTATGTTACTTATAAATTTTCATTTTGTGTATTTCCTTTATGGCATATATATTTATATATTTTTCTTTTGTAGGTCTCCATCCTGTCGCGACTCAGTCAGGAAAACGCGGATGAGTTCAACTTTGTGCGCGCATATGAGTGCTTTCAGCACAAGTCGCACACGTGTCTCGTGTTCGAGATGCTGGAGCAGAACCTCTACGACTTTCTGAAGCAGAATAAGTTTTCACCTCTGCCCCTCAAGTACATCAGGCCGATACTTCAGCAAGTGCTCACTGCACTGCTGAAACTCAAGGTAGATAATAACCTCTGATGGGATAATAATCGTCTTATATTTAAATTTAGCGATTAACTTTATGAGGTCTCTTTCTTGATCCTGATATTCATCCCCTTGCCCAAATTCCCGCAAGATAATTCATTCTTGAATTCGGATAGTCTTATCCCCGTTTTTCTATATGTCTTTGACACCCAATGACACCACATGACGTGCTATTTGATTTTATAATCAGACTGCTGTAAACATATCCCATCCTGCGTCGTACATCGATATCCGATGTTTACATTATACGGAGAATTTAGTCTTATTTTTTGAAGTTAATGAAGTTCTATCGTCAACATTTAGCACTGCCTGACACTTTGTTATTGTTTTTCTTAATAGCAATTGGGCTTGATACATGCCGATCTTAAACCGGAGAATATCATGCTGGTGGATCCGGTGCGACAGCCGTACCGCGTGAAAGTCATCGACTTCGGCTCGGCCTCGCACGTATCCAAGGCGGTTTGCAATACGTATTTGCAATCCCGGTATTATCGCGCGCCCGAAATAATTCTCGGACTTCCGTTTTGCGAGGCCATTGACATGTGGTCGCTGGGTTGCGTCGTCGCGGAGCTTTTCCTCGGCTGGCCCTTGTACCCGGGTAGTTCCGAATACGATCAGATACGTTACATCAGTCAGACGCAGGGTCTGCCCACGGAGCACATGCTGAACAATGCCAGCAAGACGACAAAATTCTTCTACAGAGACATGGACAGTGAGTAATGCATCAGCTATCCAGTCCAGATACTCTAGATGATTATTCTGTAGGTATGATTTATCATACTTTAATACTTTACTCCAGGCACGTATCCATTCTGGAGATTGAAGACACCGGAAGAACACGAAGCGGAGACGGGTATTAAATCAAAAGAAGCGCGAAAGTACATTTTTAACTGTCTCGACGATATTGGTCAAGTGAATGTACCCACGGATTTGGAAGGTGGTCAGCTCCTAGCTGAGAAGGCTGACAGGAGAGAGTTCATAGACCTCCTAAAGAGGATGCTCACCATGGACCAGGTAGTAATATCTAATTCATGATACGTCCCTACGGCTGGGGATTTGAGAAGAAAAAATTAGGAAACTCTTGGTTTTAAACAACTCAGCGACACAGACTTCTTTTCCTTTTTTCACGTGAATCATAGGAGCGCCGCATAACACCTGGAGAGGCATTGAACCACGCCTTCGTCACCCTGGCACATCTTGTTGACTATGCGCACTGCAACAACGTTAAGGCGTCTGTCCAGATGATGGAGGTTTGCCGACGAGCCGGTGACTTCACAGCCAGTCCAGCTCATCACCAGGCGCCTCCGGCGCCGCAGCCGCCGCCTCCGACGTCCTTGGTAGCGAATTTCGTGCCTACGACGAACGGCAGCGCAGTGACCCTTACGTTCAACAACCAATTGACCAATCAGGTACAACGACTGGTCAGAGAACATCGCACCGCGCAGACAGGATATGACAATCTGGTTCGTCGACAAGCCTTTTGTATTTTGACGGTGTTGAAGGATTGCCGTCACGTCTGTTGAATTCATTGGATATTGGCGGCTTTCTTTGGTGTTGTGTGAATTTTGCCTAAAGGCTCTAGTGAGGTGACCTCTAATGCTTGGCTGTAAAAGGGGAGGCAAAAAAGTATGAAAGTAAAAAAGCTAGCCGTCAGTGCCTTGCCATGTAATAAAAAAAAAAGAATATTCAGTTGTCACTTTCATATGGCGCCGGTTGAAAGTTCTTTGCGCTATTAAAATTTGTATTTGAATGTACTTTTTTTTATTTCATAATTTTTTTTTTCTTTTCTCTTGTATTTCCTTAGTATCAGATATACAGCAACAGCAGTCGAAGAGCAACGCAGTACAGCGGATCCTCCAGTGGCTCGAATAGTGGACGAAGTGGCGTTCATGATTTTCCACATCAATTGGTACCTGGTATCCTTTGTCCTCCTCCAGCATATCAGACCATGCCAAGTCCTGCTAAGCACGTAGTGGTTGCACAGGTGAGTTAGGAAAATTTTGTTTTGTTGATAACACAGTGGTCTGAACATGCGAAGGTACCTTCGAACAGGGCGTAAAATTAAGAGAGGGTTGTTTTTTTCAACAGCCTTCGCAGGCTCAACAAGCTCCCTTGCAAATTCAACCTTCGATAATATCTCAACAAGCTGTCGCAGCCGCGGCTGCGGCTGCTCAGCAGCAATACGCCGCTGTTCCTGTATCAATGGTTGAGACTGGACGACAGATGTTGTTAACTGTAAGTAATATTGTACCTGATGATTGTTCTTACTTGTTGATTGTACATCTAACGCATCATCATGAAATAATATTTAACCCTCCCTTGTGTACATAAGTATCCCATGGTCGGATTGCAGAACGCCGTGCAGACATCGTGGCCTGGCGGAAGTCGTCAAATGGCTGCCATAGTGCCTTCCTGGCAGCAGTTACCGCCCCAACACGCCGCAATTCAGCAACCCTTACTTAGCGATGCTGGCGACTGGGGCAGACCACTTATAGTTGACAGTTCAGCTATACTACAGGTAGGACCCTTAAATTTTATATTTATAAAGTCATTAAACAAAATATAAAAACAAATTGAATCTTGCACGAATATGTCGTTGACGCATATGCGTGGCAAGAGGCGACTGTTATCCTGTACCCTAGAAGTACTAGGAAGAGGATCACGTGTAGAGTTGAAGAAACAATGATTTTCATAAAAAATAGTATTTCAATGATCAAACCACCCAGCCACACTATCCTTCGTAATACAACACCCGCAATCCTAGCAATGTGAAGAATTGAAGAAAATCAGAGTCCTCATTTCCTCCTCTGCTCTCGATATTCTAATCGTATGGATGATTAGTCTGAGTGATTGTCCAATTAATCTCCCTTGTTTTGGGGAAGGATCAGAGGCCTGTGTTCCCCGTGACGGAAGTGTACAACACTGGTGCCCTCGTCGAACATCCCTCTCAGAGTTGGGGCAAGCGAAGCGTCACGAAACATCATCAACATCACATGGCGATGCCACAACAATCACAACATCGACATGAGCATAAGAAGGAGACACAACAACTCAGTCCAGTGAAAAAGCGCGTCAAGGAAAGCACACCACCCAGCAGTATGAGACGTCATTCACCTCCCAATGGTCACTGGCAACAGCAGTCTACCCAGTCGCATCATCATAGTGGCAAACATGGTAGTAGTCATAATGGCGGCGAACATCAGCAGGTCTCCACCGTTAGACAGCAGACTATCACAATACACGACACGCCGTCACCTGCCGTTTCCGTCATCACTATCAGCGACAGCGAGGACGAATCCCCTGGTAAATGGTAAGTTCAACGTCACTTTTTCATATATTATTTTCTTATCCTACAGTATTACTTAGTATAACTTTATCAGTTAACAATGTTCATATACAAAAGCTACATGTTCATTATACTGCTGATTTTGCAGTATATCATGCCTATATCTTGGTACAAGTCTCGGCCATTCTAGGTAAATGAAAAGTTTGACACTCTCGTGACTGATCAATATTTTTGTCCAGTAGTATAATTCTTAGGTATTCAGTTACACTAGTTTTGTGACGTCATGTATTCATTAGCATTCACAATACGTATGAGTATTAATATCCTAGGTGTAATTGACCGTTCTTCCTATTGGTATATAATTTTAAAAGCGTGACGCGTGTTATAGCCAAACGGACAATAGGTTCAGAAATTTTAAAACTAAATATACCCCTCGTTATACGTCATTGATGTCTAGCAGTAGAATCATGCATGACTATCATTGACAGCTGTGGAGACCGTCAGTGCGGAGCCTGTCAAGGTTTGGCACCTCGCCTGTCTGGCGACAGACGTCCTGTCCGTGAGGAGGTCATCCGAAGGTACATTAAACGTAACGCCAATAACACGCAACACACCACAATCATTACCTAATTAATTTGATCAAATAAATGATCCCGTTCGATATCCTATAATCGTGACGTACCTTAACAAACCCATATTAAAAATTAATCTAACAAGCATCGGACAGTGAACGGTGAGAATGCGTTTGATAAACTCTAACAGGGTGTTCATTCTGATGTAGCGTTAACGCTTCTCTAGGTCATGACTCGTACACAGGGATCTGGTTGTGGAATTTGCAGTGAGAGTTCATCTACTCACTAACAATAAATACTTTCTGGTTACTTCTCCCGAGTGCAGCAGGCTGCTATGAAGTATTGTATGTACATACACCATGTGCGCAACGAGAACTATACAATTAAGATAGGCTGCTGTCTAAAACTTTCTTCTTGGTACCTGCTGAACTCGCGCCACTCTTGAAACTCAACCTTTTTTCAGTGTAGTTTAATTTTTCTTCTCTTCCCTTTTCTGAACTACTTCTCTCGGAAAAATCAGTCTTGATGAGGATGATTTCACATTTTACAGTACTCAATCCACACCGCGGGTCGTGCAAAGCTCCCACCAAAATCATTCGAGCAGTCAAGTACACGCAAACGGGCACACGAGCTCACACAGTTCCTCACAAAGGGCACAGCGCAAGAATGTTATTAGCTGTGTCACTGTTGGTGACAGCGACGGAGAGGCCAGTCCTGGTCGGGCTCACGCTCATTTGTATCAGCACCTGCCACCGCATCCTCAGCACCAGCAAACCACACAGCACATCAAGCACGAACCCCAGCCACAACACCACATCAGGTTTGTAAAAAGAATGTTTAATTGTTTGATGCATTAGTTTTGCTCTGTTATTTCGTCCTTATGAAGTGAATTACATAGTCATTAATTCCAAGGTTGAGTATTAGTTTTTCATGATCAACTTTATGATTTGCAGTTCCGGTTATTCCTCGCAGTCACAAAAGAAACGGCTGTTGGCGAAGGTGCAGTCAGAGTGCAACATGATAAACGTCGCGACGAAGCCAGAGCCTGGCGTCGAATATCTTGCGCCGCATCCCTGTCATGCGCCGGCTTGCAAGGAACCTCCGACCTATCAGGTTCGATTCATCCTTGTAGACGATCTCTTCATTTCGATTATCTCTCGAACTTCCTTTTCGCTCTTCCTAGTTCTTTGCTCCCACTTGGTTTTGGTAGCAATAATATTTGCAGAATCGACACCAAAAGGGCTTCCGTACTTGCAACAACCTTTGTTCTCCTTTAATTAACCTTTCTTTTGGGTAATGTTTTTCTAGGATGACGCCTATGACATGCATGACTACTTCTTGCAGTATGTGACCACTAGCAGCGCGCATCCTCACCTTCAGGAACAACATATTGTCTACACAACTGGCGCGGATAAACGCGTGTCCTGGCCTGGTAAACGCGCAGAGTATAAGCACGAATACGTGCAACCACCAGCTGCTCATTCGAGAGATCATCAGAAGTGGGCGGTTGCGAATCCAGTGCACCAGTACAGGTTAGTCTGACGTAGATTCAGCATGCGTACAATTTGGAATATTGCATGTAGTTTGAGGGTAGTATTGCAAAGTATTATACAAAGCATAGCGAATCAAGAGAGAGAGGTGAAGCAATGGCAATTATGTAAAGCATGATAGAGTTAAATGAGAAGAAAGGGGACCACTCTTAAGGAAATTAGAATCAGGTATATTGTTTCGAAAGAACAGTACAATTGAGTTCAAGATTTCGTTGAGAGGTTCATAGTATACTTTGTATGATGCCTGTATACACAGTACTCTTAAAAATTGATAAGAGCTAGAGTACGTGTAAGTATAGTAAGTCATCGGCATGCGTGAGATATGTGTAACGAAGGGGTCGATTTTCTTTGTTGGGTTTTGTAGGCAGAGCCAGGTGGTTGGTTCGGCAGCCCATCCGGGTCATACCCACAGCCACCACGGGCATCCTGCTCATCTGAGTCCTGGGGGCGGTGGCGGGGGCAGAAGTCCAGTGGTTGGGGGTACCCAGCATCTGGGTCAACCCCTTTACCAAGAGTATGCCCATGTACGCTCACGGGCCCATCCCGTTCCACCCCCGGTCTATGTCACGGCTGCGCCTTCACAGGCCCCGGCTGCTATCCAGCAGCAACAAGTGCCCACCTACCAGGGATTCACACCCGGGTGGGTACCTAGACACCTAGTAGATGCATGCATGTGTGTACCCTTCATTATATTATATTAGTATTAAATATAGTATCGTTAGAGTATAACAGGCCCCTCCACCGATGGAGCCTGCAAGTCTCTTATACCACGAGTAGAAAGCGCTCCTGCCATTTTTTTTCCAACGAAACGATTCCATTAATTATGAATTTTATCAGTCACAAAATTACAATACGATAATCGTTGACTTAAGTTACATCATTTAAACTTTATTTTCTTCTAGTGGCAGGAGTAACAACAGTATAATTATGCTAGACGTCTCTCTTACCCTGAGAGTACACTCAAGCTACTGATCAGAGTTTTCAACAAAAAAAATGTATCACATCACTTTACACAGTCCGAATTCGCATGCCTAATACCCATTCAGACTCGAGTATACTCTCCAAGGGTATGGGTGACTTAAAAATAATCTCTTCGTTTTTTAGATCATTGAGGACACTCTCTAATGTACGCCTTATCCCGTTTTTTACAGCTCGTCTCCATTAACGTTGTATGATTCTAGTCGCGCTCTGCCACCGCCTGCTCATCACAGCTCAGCGCGGCCATTATTGGCCAGCCACGCGGCGCATCCGCTGCCCGCGCACATGCAGCCAACTGCGGTCTACGGTTTGGCACCACTATCTCCTGCCAAGCACCAGTATCAACCATCCGGTTTGTGGTTTACCGAGTAAATTGACAAGTCGTACCAATTATACATAATCCATACACTATAGATATATTTAAGAAGGTAACAAGAGAAACAAAAAGCTGAACCTCCGTATAACGTTCCTGCTGATCAAACGTATTCACTGGCACATCAGTCAAATCGAGGAGATCAAGATATATACAAATTAGTGTCTCTTCACGAACACGCAAACCCATCTAACGTGTCTCCTGCTATGCAGCGAGAAATCTTGACTCGCGTCGTGAAAAGGAGCTCAACGCTTAATTGTCCTTGAAAACATGGAAAAGTCGACAATCCGTCCCGTGCAGCTTTTTAAACTGTTTTCTGGAACTGCGTGGCTGCCTCGCTTTCTTCTTAAATGACTGCCCGTGTTAAGATCATTACTATCAGTCGTCATATTGACAATACCACGTCTGAACACTCGCTTTCAACACTTGTATATTACCTCAGCGTGCAATTGGGCTTTGATATCGGAATCGGTTACTAAATGGTTCCTTACTCCGTTGTCGGATTAATTCATTACTTTATATGGAATTACGACTAATGATTACGTCTATGGCTCTTTCTCGATTTGACATGACTTTCGTGCAAGGAACGTTATGTTAAATTTGTGTATGAATAAGCACAAGTGGATTGGGGGTATTTTTAAATGAAAAGAAAATAATGCGAAGGAGGTATAATTGCGTACGGTACGACTAAGACGTGTAAGCGGAAGTTAAGAAAAGTGGTCCTTGGACAATGTATTCGACGAAATTCGAAAATTCAGCGGGCGATTAACGTACAAAAATTGTAAATAGTAATTGTTTGTCATTGATGATAAATCCACTGTGTTATGGCGCTCGATGAGTTTTCGGCTCCTGTCGAATGGACGAATAATCAATAATCAAGACCCAAATTAACGTGGCCAAGCGGTTGCCTTTCGCGAGTGGGCCCGACACTCGTCTTTTCGCATTAAATTATAGGAAAGGCACACGAGAAATAATTAAGAGTGGAAAATAAGTTTAAGAGTATACAAAGATTAAAAAAAAATAGAGGCCACACCGCGTTGTCGATGCTGACAAATGTGTGTTTGCTGAATGAAGCAAAATGCAAAATTTATACACTAACACACAAACACATGCACACTGAGGAATAAAACGTCGCGACGTTCTTACCCTCGTTATCCTATATTGACGGAGAAAATCTTGCATTTCTTCATATGATACATCATCGCGTATCATGCAACGCTATTTTAATGCTCATTTATCTTAAATCCTTAGACGATTAATCAATTGTGTTTATTTTCTGTCAGTCCCTAAAGGAAACAAAACAAAACGAAGGACGGATATAAAAAATCGCCAGAATCCACGTTGATCGGCAATAAGTCGCGCTGTAACCTTTTTTTTTTAATTTAAACATTGTACTCCTGCATCCGTTCTGGTGTAATATATAAACTTGTAGAGACGATATGTGGAAGAAATACAGGGGTGGGGGAAAGGGGGGGGGAAAGAAGAATTAAGAAAGCGTGACTCATTGACGCATCAACGCGATCAGTAAGGGTGGTTCTTTTTCGTCATATAATTATCTATATTTTGTCCTAGGGATTTAACCAAATATACAACACTGCGCATGCGCCACTAAATATAATGTCCCGTACACTCATGAATACACACTATACACTATTTGAGGGATTGCGTTTAGGTGGGTTTTAACCTTTTTCCTTTGGTTAGGGTTATTCAGGTTTATCGTAGCTTTAGGGGTGCGGATTTCCCCTCGCCGCCGTCGTTGTACAAAATGTATGTAAATTTGCAGATTATATATTATAACGTAGGATCGATATCGCACTTGTGTGTTGGCACGGACCCGTTGTGATCTTCTGCGTTGACGAGGGCTAACTCGCCCCTTGTTCCTTGAATGATACGAGGCGCGTAAATAGGTTGATAAACAATTACGGAGGAGATTGGTTCGATAATCTCCGTATAGTTCACAAGGTGTACGAATGAGGGTGTCTTTTTCATAGTCTCACTATTTATTACTACATTGCTACTACTCTTATCGTTACTATTGATTACTGTCTTTGTGAAATCGCTAAACGTTATTGCCTGCCCCACGTGTCTCATGCCACTATGATAATTATTATTGTCATTATCATCACTGTGTATTGCATGGAGGCAACGTAACGATAGGTTCTCGAGGGGATTGAAGAAAGATAGACCAAAAATGATAGGGTCGCGTGCGCAAAGTTGATTAAGAGGACAACTAATGGAATTACGTAAAATCACTGGTTTTATATAGAAAATGTGACCCGTCGGTATATCGATTCCAAACTTGTTTTTTTTTTTCCAATGCCGTACATAATGTATCTTTTTAAGTTCGGTGCGCACGTGAGTTCCCAATCAGCCGTGACGTATTGGGTCCTTAGTTACGAAAATGTATAAGATCAGGTACATTTTAGAAACAAAGAATTGTACATATTTTTCAATTGGAAACGAACGAACGTATCCATCGTGAGTCTTTGAAGAGTGTATAGATTCATATATAATAGTTTGTTTCCCCATCGCGTAAGGATGATTTGTCTTGTGTATAATTTCAATGACCACGTTGTCCTTATTCTTTTCTTTTTTTGTACATATAACAATAATGTATTCTAATACAATCGACGGATTCCTAGTGATTTCCGTTACCGTTTTCGTTTTCATTAAGTCGAATCGCGTTTCTTCCGTCGAGCCAAAACAAATCATTGAATCGTTAAATCCGGACGCTTTCGTCACTGTATTCTTCACCGTGGGAATCGACACGACTGATTCGGAACTCCATGATATTTTTGTCGCGTGTCAAGTAAAATTGTGCGCCGATTCGTCAAAGTAGTTAATTTAATATTTGTACATATAACTTAGTAAGATAATCCCACGAAATCCTACGCGGTTGGTTGCCCAATTCTGCGACTTCTCATCTATTTCTCTTCCGCTTGAAGTTTTTGCCGTCGTCGTGGAAAATTTTTTTAAGCGTCGACATTTTCTTTTTTCTTTTCTTTTTTTAACAGAATGACGCTTAGGCATTGTTTGCTGAATATTCGTGACATGTATATATAATTACAAATAGATGAAAAAATATATATATATTAATAAATATATAGATATATTATTCGGACGAGATTGATATGAGCACGTTGATTGGAGTGACAATGCCAGTCCGAAATATTAACTCTAATGTACATACGTAATATAGGATATATATGTATAGTAATACGATATATAGATATCGTCCAGTTTTAGATGCGTTACGTGCATTACACGAGGGTGGTTTTCTGTGGGATAAGAAAGATTTCGAAAAAGAAACTCTGTGCGAAGATAAACTAGGAAATCGGCCGCGAAATTTCAATTATTATTGTATTTGAGGTTCTAAAGCGTTTTAAGGAGGAAGCCTATGAGAATTTTCCGTTTCGTGTGATCGTTTTTTTTTCCTTTCTTTTATTCTTATGGAAAAACCAATAATTCTCGTGTCCACGCGGTTCTCTGACGTTTTCGTCGTCGAGCGATTCTCCGTTTTTTTTTTATCTTCATAGAATTCGCGGCCTTCCTTTATATCAATTTGGATAAAGTGGAGTGCTCGTCGGTCATAATCTATGGGATTGCGAACGATCGTGTTTATTATGTCGTACGGAAATATATAACTAAGTCGATGTGCCTGTTTAACAATTAATTGTATATTATATTATTGCTAGGCTGTAAGTTAACCGAAACTAAATTTTCAAGTCGTAATTGTTCGTAGGGAGGTGTGACGTAGTTTTAGGTTCGCGTTTCGATAACAATTATTAATAACGTAAGGTGTTACAGTCATCGTAATTGTTACGTGTGTCGTCGAAATTTATTATCAAAATTAAGTAATTTAATTGCCAGAGGTATCGGTAACGCTACCGAAGGAGCGAATGGGTCACAAATATTCGTACACGACACATTGGTATCCATAAAGATCGGAATTACGTTGTGACAGGGCTCGAAATCATCTTGACCCATTAAGTGTATACATGGCAAATCCCATTAATGGAAAGTAAAAAAAAATCATTAAGCACACGCTCATATGCTTCCACGTATATCTGTAGTGTCCATTACGGTTGCGGTGCGAACGAGATACTTTTTTTTCCTCCTTTTGGGGTAATTCTCGTTTTTCACTTGTCAAGTCATATCCTTAGGTTTCCACTCTTTCACATATGTCGTTTAATCGTACTCGGGTATGTACACTATACGCATATGTGTACGCACGTCGTACACACGTGACAATGAGAAACAGGCTTGAGAGAGGGAATTTAAAAAATCGTCATACGCAAAATTATACAAGATACCAGATACGTCATATACACTGATACACTATATTTATCATAGTCGTGGCTTTTCTTTTTATTTCTTTAACGTTATTACTTTGCACCATATACTTCGTTACAACTGCGATGGCGGTTTCTTAAGCAAATTTCATTGGTACGTCTAAGGTAGCTTTCCTCGTTGGACCATCCTTTTATTTTAATGTCGTACGTTGTAGAATTTGGAAAAGGAAATAATATTACGTAACACGAACATAACTGGCTTGGGGATCATAGTATGTTTATTTCTTGTCAGAAATTCATAAGCAAGCACGTCGTTGGCTCTTTTCGAACGGACGTGTTCCTCGTGATTTCATTATATCCTTTAGGGTCACTCAGAGTCACTGATACGTTACGTATATGAATATACTACATATGTTATCGTTTAATAATTGACGTTTACGATCTAACGTGACACACCAGAAAGCGACTATCTAATTACAAGTAACAGCTAACTAAGTTCTGTAGTTTGATAATGGATAACGGGTATGATTAAAAAAAAAAAAAACCCAGCAAAGTAACGTAAATGTATCGATGGTTCTAGTTGTGATATTTTACTAATGTAATAACGATAATTAGTGTAATTAGTGCTGAGGCTCGCGATCAGCAATTAATAACTTTAATCGCGTTAGGTCTATACAAGATGGTGAAGTTTTTGGGCGCATGGGGGATATATAATATAGTATAACATAATTCAACAACTGATATAATACGTGAATTTCGTAATATTATTGTATCATATTATTATATTATATATCGCGTTGTATGTCAATGCGTCCTGGCGCAAAGCTCTTCACTTTTTATACACGTAGCTTGCTCACTGAAAAAGAAAGAATATATATATATATATACATATATATGTTCTGTGTCCCGTGTACACGAGTGGAGATTATTTTTAATCATTTTCAAAATTTGTACATAGTTCTCTTATCGTATCTGGGGGATATTTGTTAGGTATATAGGTGTAGTGCCTAAAATGTCGACGGGATTGTGTCAAATTTTGGCTGAGAATAGAAAAGACGATTTGGAAAGAGGGTGTTGTAAAATGAAAAGAAAAAAAAAAAAGAAAAAAAAGGATAAACTAGGCAGATCTGAGGGTAAAGTTTATCGTCGTGATAAGGTCGGCGAACTTATGTTGTAACGTAACTCTGTTTTATCAACGAATGCGACGAGTAATTGTGCTAAAAGAAATTTTCAGGCATCGTGTGATTTTGCACTGGAGATAGAGATTTCGTGTCGGACAAAGTTTGCGATAACTACGTAACTTCAAAACCGATAAGGAGGTCGCGTACGATTATTGTAGTAAAGTGTGTGGATCTTGGTGTGGGATTTTTTTGTTAATTAAAGATGGCCGAAAATATATTGTCTACGATTATGACTAATCAATGAATTATTACATTAGATGGATTTTAGGGGTTTAATATTTCATCGCGTAGTAATCTTTTTTTTTTACCAGTTTGAGGCTGGGAGGGTGGGACATAGTCGAGATATATAACTACCGTGTAAGTAAAGGATAATAAGAGGTAAACGAGTAAGGAAGAAGAAAAAAAAAAAGAAAAAAAAGAAAAACCTTAGCTAACGAGAGATAACATATTTTTGGATTTAGTAGAGAGTGGTGGGATAATATTGTGCTCTGTGAATTATTAGCGGCATCGGCTTAGATTTCTAATCTCTCTTCGTGTATCTTATAACTATTCTTGTTTTTCTTTCCTTTTATAACGCGTCTCTCAGTCTCCTTCGGTACGACAGCTCCTGACAGTTTTATCCAAAGGGATTGGACTGACTTCACATCCTCTAATAGAATGAAATGAATTTTTCACGTTCGATAAGAATGCGTAGCCCTTTGACAATGCGAGGATAACGAACATTGTCGTAACTTTCCTAAGGGTAGGCATTTTCACATAATAGACGCACGTAACGTACCGTCCGCGATAACCAGATTAATGAAAAAAAAAACTAGAGTTAAGTTCTTGGATAGATAGGGAGAGAGAGAGAGAGGGGGGGGGGG